TTGGGGAGGAAAGGGTTACTTTGCTCACAGTTCCTTCCACATCATATTCTATCATCAAAGAAAGGACTCTGACCACAGGATACCAAGCTTCAATTTCTCTCCATGATCCCATCAATCGCTGGGTATCTACTGCAACTGAGACTATACCTGCATGAATAGCCTTTCCTGACTTCTCACAATCAGAACAGGAACTCAAGGCAAAAACCAGAGCAGAAGACAATGGAGAGGGCATTGCTTACCATCTTGCTCCTTGGTGGCTTGCTCAGTCTGCTTTCTTATACAACCAAGACTACCTGTCCAGGGGTGGCACCATCTGTATCAGTCATTAAGGAAGAAAATTCCCTTCAGATTACTTACAATCTGAAGGCATTTTCTAATTACAACCAAAACAACTACCCCTTGTCAATTTGACACATGAATATAACACTATGAAACAATAACCTCCCTTTTTTGTATGTCCCCAAAGTCTTGTATTTAATGACAACAGCACAATGTAAAACATTTCAATTTTTAGAAGTCCTATGTCACTAAAAATTCAACAATAACAAAAGTACTAAATTTCCTTTTTTTTTTTTTTCCAGACAGGGTTTCTCTGTATAGCTTTGGAGCCTGTCCTGGAACTCACTCTGTAAACCAGGCTCCCTTTCAAACCCACAGAGACCTCTATCTCCCAAGTGCTGGGATTAAAGGCGTGGGCCACCACTGCCCGCCTTTGGGGGAGGGTTCAGAGGCAAATTTCTTAGAATATTCAGTCTCTCTAAAAATCAATTCTCTCTAATGTTCCACAGTATCTTAACTATGGGCTTCTGATGAGTCTCAATTTATGTATGGATCCTATAATAGGACATACAGTGACATACATAATACATAATAGTGACATGCAGGGACAAACTATGGTGCATGTGGAACTCAGCATACCAAGCAAAGAAAGGAAAATATTTCTGTTCTTTCGGAGACTGATTCCGTCAGGTACCCTGGAGTTATTCTCCCCAGCCTCAAGGCAGGTATATTAGTTTTCTCATTGATGTAACAAAATAACGGACAAAAACCATTTAAGGAGGGAAGGATTTATTTCAGGTCAAGGCTGAGGGGATAGAGTCATCCGGACAGGGAAGCCAAGGCAGTGGTGATATGCAGCACTTGGTCATCTGTTGTCAGGAAGCAGAGAGAGGCAGATGCTGAGCTCAGTCTCTTTTGACTCAATCCAGGACTCCCTCCCATTGGGTGGTACCAAACACATTTAGAGTGGATCTTCCACCTCAGTTAACCCAATCTAGACACTCCCTCACAGGCCAGCTCAGAGATCTGTCTCGTAGGTGATGCCAGATCTTGTCAAGTTGACAGTATTAATAATCAGTGTGTATGTCTGAAATTGACTCTCACAGTACTTATAACTTGCTGTAGAAATAGCTACCTTGGGTTGAGTTTTTCTGTTGGGTACTGTGTCGAAAACTTGTACATTATTTCAGCCATCTTTTTGGTAACCTTGACGAGTAGATGGCATATTTTCATTTTACAGATGAAAAAGCAAGGTTCAGAAAGCCAAGGAAGCTGCCCAATGTGATGAGTTGAGACCGGATTTGAATATAGGTCTTCTGGGTCCAAAGTCTATACTTAGAAACAATAGTTTGTATGAATTTTAAAAATAAATGATCATAATCATGCTTCCTGACTTTCAGTTGCTATAATTCGTCACTAAAGTTCATCCCTCCAATTTGAAGGCAATGAGAATTATTAGAAAATAAACTACAAGTAAGTAGATTTCATCTAGGTTGGTTTTGTTGTTGTTTGGGAGTATGTGCTGTTTTGGTTTTGCCAATTTCACACAAACTGGAGTTACCTGGAAAGAGGAGCCTCAATTGAGAAAAAACCCTCCATCAGATTGCCTATAGGCAAGTCAATAAGGCATTTTCTTGATTAATAATTTGATGTGGGAGGGCCCAGACCACTGTGGGTGTGGCTGTCCCTGAGCAGACATCAATCTGATTACAACTTTCCTCTTTCAGCTTGTACTGTGTAAGTTTTGGGTAGTTGCCCACACTAATCAAGTAATTCTTTAATGTGTCTGTCATCCACTAATACAGAAGAAAGGCTGGAAAAAAGGAAGGAAGGAAGGAAGAAAGGAATCACATATGAATACCAGCTAAACGCCCAGTCAAGTTTTCAGGAGTCAAAGAGAGCCTACTTCCCATCCACCCACTCACCCCATCTCTAGCTAGTGCTACAGGAGCAAATTCCTGTGCAGCCACTCTGACAGGGGAGAGGATGCAACAAATGGCCAAAGACTGCCGTTTTTTATAGAGTGTGCTTCATAAAACAACAACAAAACAAAACTGTTGCGATTTCACAAAAGGTTAAGACAGTTCCTAACACTATCTCACAGTTCATAACACTATCTCTCGGATGAAAACAAAGCACTCAGGGAGTTTCTTCAGCTCTGATCCAGTCTTCTTGCCTCCTGGCTCCCGGGCCCGGGCCTCAGGGAAACTTGGCTGGTTTTCCTTTACCCATCTCATCAGCCTAACTGCTAACTGTTTGTTGTAAATGGTATGTTTATGCTAGGAGTTCCTTACGGGAATGAAAGGCACGGCAGCAGGGTGCGGCCGTCCATATGATACAGTACTCACAGGTATGACATCACTGACAATAGGGAATGATGAGGGACGGGAAGGGCTGATACAGCACTTTTATCCTCTATATTTTAAGGACAGTTGGTAACATGTATTGTAGAAAGGAATCTGCACACACCCCTGTTCACGGTCTGCTGTTCCGAGTTAAGCCCTGGCCCAGCAGACACTGGGATGAACACAAGACGTGGTATTTTAAGAATGCCCAAGCCCAGTTAAGCAGAGACTGTAATAGAGTAGGGCAGACAATACGGAGGGATGCACAGACATCATAAGCTTCAGGGTCTAGGCCGACCTCCTGACTAGAAAGAAGGTCAACAAGCCTGAGGCTGCCTGTTTCCCCTCGCTACTTCACCTGCCAACTGCAGCTGACTTATCAAAGCTACGGACACTGCCTCCCTCTCAGAGCACCGGCTCTCTGCATGAACTACAACTTGAAGGTTCGGTTTCCAGAGATTGCTAAGAGATAGAAAGGGGTTGGGGCAGACAGACAGACATTCTGAGAGGGAGGCCACTGATGTCCTAAATTCAGTCTTTACTTCCAGGGAATTTACTTACGAAGGTGTGCTAACACCCTTTAATTTACTGAACACCTACTGTGCGTCTGACAGGAAAACACCTTAACAGCTTTGATTCCTGCCCTGAGGGAGACCAGTGGGGAATCTCTCACACAGAGAATAAACATCAGACACTAGAGAAACCCAGGCAAGCACCTGCCTGGCTAGAGGGTCTCTTTCTTAGGTCATCTTGTCCTACCCATATCCTACGGACCACCCAGAGTCAAAGCTTCCTGAACCCAGGAAACACTCCAAACACCCTAAGGAAGGAGCCAGCAGCAACATCACTCCCAGCTCATGCCCTTCTTCACTCAAGAAGGCAAACACACAGCACGGGCTGTGGGACATACAGCCATGTTTGGTCAATGATTCCTTCAGCAAACACTCATCGCCCTAAGTCAGCAGGCAGTAAATCCCAGCTGCCACCTTACTGTTTCCTGTAAAGAGGGACAAGTCACTTCCTGCCCTGGTTGCCTCCAAAGACCACAGGAACACAAGAAACCAGCCTCCCTATCCTAGTACACACACACACACACACACACACACACACACACACACACCCCTTCTTTGGAGGAATTAACCAGTGTGTTCTGAATTAGCCAGGCAGTCTCTAGAATCTTCCCACCAACTCTGAAACACTGGGGATTACTCCATTTCCTCATGAGGTCTCTTTGTAAACCACTCTGCTGTCTCAGAGTTAAGACACAAACGATTTCTGCTTACCCCCAATAAAATCCCTGACCTCCCAAGGCCTCAATCTAGCTGCACAACAATTAAATGTAACAAGAAGGGAGTTATGTTTGTTCAGTCAAACACCTAGAACTATAGACAGTGTAAGACCACAGTCCATGGACGTGCAGTAGAACAGGAGGGCCCACCAGAGCCAAGCAATGGCAGGCGGAAGGTAACCCGAGGGTCTTAGTGAGACAGTAGCGGTCCCTTGCGGGGGAAGGAGCCCGAGAGGTCCCATCCTCAGCAGAGCGCCACCACCACCACCTCACCCGCCATGGGTGGAGGAGGGGGGTCAGGACTAAGCGGCTCTACGGAAGGTACCATTAGGACAGGGGACACGGGGAAGGGATGCGCTGCTGCTTTGGGGAGGATACAACCAGGCTGTGCGCCTTTGGGGAGCCAGCCGGGAAAGGACTCTAGGAGAAGGAGAAGGGCAAGAGACTGGGGCCAGACAGACGTAGGGCAGGAAGATTATGGTGGGGAACACTGGGGAAGCCCGTGGGGACCCAGAGAAAGGGGGAGGGGCGCGAGGCCAGACAGAGCGTTTAAGAAAGACTCCGCAAGGAAGACAGACGAGGATGGAGACAAGGAACGGGGAAGGGGGGAGAGACGGAGGCCTCGAAGAGGGAGGGATGTAACTGGGATGGGGGACACTGGGGACAGAGGAGACAGGAGACGGAAGGGGCTGAGGAAACACAATCAGGATAGGGGACTCCGGAGAGGCGGGAGCTGGAGGGGGGATGCAATCAGGAAGGGAGACTTTAGAGAAGAGGGAGGGGCGTGGGTCAGAACCGAGACCTTCGAGAAAGGGAAGCGAGCAAGAACGGGCGGGGCGGCGGGACTCTGGGGAAGGGAGAAGGGACAGGGGCTGCGAGGGGTCACCGAGGGGAGAGGACGTGAGGCCGAGGAAGTGGGCGCGGCCAGCAAGGCTGGAGTTCCTGAGAGCCGGGCTTGGAGAAGGGGGTGCTGGCGGAGCGGGTTACCCCCGGGGGGGCGTGGAGCAGGACCCGACCGGTACCCCGACAGGAGAGGTCCCGGGAAGGGGTCGCACGCGGGCGCCGTGGGGCACCGCGGGCCCAGTCACCTGCGAATGCTCGGTCCGCTAGGCTGGAACCCGGCAGAGAGTGCAAGGTCGCCGGCTTCTTCTGCTCTCTGCTGAACGCGCAAGTCCAGGTCCTGCGTCACCGCCCGGTGCGCACGCGCGGGAGGCAGGTGCCGGCCCGGGTGCAGGGACGTCGCCGAATCTGAGGACTCGCTTAGTGACCAGCTCAAAGGCGTTTCCTGAACTTGGCCTCTAAACACAGCTTCCCGGAGAAGTGCATGGCCGCCTGACCGGGGTAAACCAAGGGCAAGCTGAGCCTGGAACGTCCCGGAGCCAGAAATGAGGCCCGGCGTGCTGAAAAAGCTGCAAAATGGAGATGTGGAAACTGAAACAGCAACCAAGGAACAAAGCTGGAAGTCTTCGCAAGAAGTCACGTAGAATTGTTTATGGCTTAGAATATAAAACTGTAACGATTAAAGAAGGATCCGGGTGTGTTAGTACAGGACCCAGAACTGCGGAGGCGGAGTCAAGAGAATCATGAGTTTGAGGCCAGTCTGGTAACCACTGTCACAAAAACAACAAATAAGTTTTTTAAAAATTCATAAAGAGGGCGTGGTGTTACACAACTGTTCACAACTGACATAGCACACAGCCATCCTTGTCCACATAGTTAGTTCAAGACCTGTGTGGGAATCCATGAGATCCCATTTAAAACAAACAAAAACCTACGATACTTGTTGAATGATAGTGCCTTGTGTGTTGCACAAAGCACAGAACAAACGTAGTGGAAGTGTACATTCATTTAAAAAGAAAATGTGAGCCTTGCGTTGGTGGCGCACGCCTTTGGTCCCAGCACTCGGGAGGCAGAGGCAGGTGGCTCTCTGTGAGTTTGAGGCCAGCCTGATCTACTGAGCGGGTTCCAGGACAGGCTCCAAAACCACACAGAGAAACCCAGTGTCGAAATAATAATAAATAAATCAATAAAAATAAAAAAAAGAAAATGTGTAGCGTGTACTCCCCCAGAATGGGAACAGGCCTGAGCAAGCCTAAGACTCAGGACCACCACTAGCCACCCCACCCCAAATACTTTTGGAGCATTCCTTTTATGAGTTTGGGGAGAGGAAAGAGCAGATTCCCTGGAAGGAATTAGGTAGCCCTCCTCCCGTGAGTGACAGATGGTCTTAGTGTTAAATAGCTTTGGACCATCTTTAAGTTGGTGTGTTGCATGTCCTACAACTTTAAGCACATGCTTATACATGATACAGTGAACAGGACTTTCCTGTTAGTACTCCAGTCAAGGAAAACCTTGCCCTGGTTTAAGATGGACTTGTTTATCTGCTCTTCTACTAAGAAATGCCTGACCCCAAATGACCTACAGGAGAGGAGACACTGGGTGCTGCCCCCATGGGCAAGGAGACCAAGGAAGATGCTAGCAGGGTGGCCAGGCAGGCTGTGCTCACCTACACAAGCAATATAACTGTAGATGCTGCCCTGGTTAGTTTTCACGGCCTTGACACACACTAGGATCGTCTGGGAAGAGGGAACTTCACCTGAGGAAAGACGACGCCATCACATTGACCCATACATAAGTCCATAGCAAGCATGAACTTCACTGCGGCTGGGGGGAGGGGAGGGAGCGTGTACACCACAGCACAAGTGTGGGGGTCAGAGACGGCGTTCCAGCGCCCATTCTCTTCCACAGTAGGTTCCCAGGATTGAACTAGTCACCAGGCTTGTACAGTGAATGCTTTTACCAGCCGCCATCTTGCCAGCCCTGGGCTATAATTTTAAATAATGGCTGCGCTTGGGAAATGGCAGAAACTTATCCTCAAGCTCATACAACCATGAGCTCAATTTCCTGTCTCCCGGTGACGGACAGGCGCGTCTCCCGGGGACAGGTGCGTTGGTGCCTTGTTTCAGGCTAACATCGGCCCAGTTTTTATGAGCATTTCTGTACAAACCTTTGCCTGACTGTATGGTCCCATTTCTTTGTAGCACAGTTTGTAGGATGATCGTATAGATGCATGTTTAGCTTTATAAGAGACAGCCAGACTTGTTCTGAAGGGATTATGGCCCTTTTTGTACTTCCAGAAAAAATACTGGATTTTTATTGTGCATCTAATTTTAGACACATTGACACGATTCAAAGCTGTAAAGAAAACCATGGTGAATATTATCTTCCTCCTGATCCCACCCCCAGCCTGCTGCTCAGGTCCCACTCTATCCCAGCCTCACCACAGGCGATTGATGCTATTTGTTTTTTAAATGTCACAATGTTTTAAATTATATAAATATAATCTTTTCTTCTGCGAATGGTGTACTTGGAGATATTTCCACCTTGACATGTGGAAAGGCTCCTTGTTTCTTTTCTTTTCTTTTTCACCCTTCCCTTCTTGTTTGGTTGTTTAGTAGAATGGTTAAGTACTAAGTTGTTTGTGCTTAGCAGGATGAGATTGGCAGGCTTGTGGAAGAATTCACCAAGAGAGAAGAAGGCAGAAAGTAGGGGAGATATAAGATATATGGTAGGATGCAGGGCAACCCTGTCTCAAGACAACAACAGCAGCAGCAGCAGCAGCAAAAATGGTATCACAGTCATAGCAGGACAGAAGAAACTGTCTTCCTGGAGACATTCTCTAGGGCAGGATACTAGGAGGCAGGGTACCAGGCAGGCAGGCAGGCAGGCAGGCAGGCAGGGTTTTTTATGTCACTCTGCTGACCTGGATGAGGATCTATCATAGGGTGATGTTTGCTCACCAGCCTGGTCCCATAGCCATGTCAGCCCCAAATAATACACAGAGATGCTGTATTCGATATAAAGCTGTTGGCCTGTTACTAGCGTTTCTTATTGGCTAGCTCTGTCTTAAATATTAACCCATTTCTATTAATCTATGTGTTTCTCCGGTCTTATCTTACCGGAGAGAGGATCTGGAGCTTTTCTCTCTCAAGTGTCTACATCTTGAATCTCCACTGCCTCTCCCAGAATCCTCCTTGTCTCTTAGTCCCGCCTATCTTGCCTTCCTATTGGCCAACAGGGCTTTATTCATTAACCAATAAGAGAAACATATTAACAGAATGACATCTCCCACCAGGATGATGGTATAGATGTCCCTGAGGCCCAGGTATTTGAACAGTTCATTCCTTGGTGACACCGTCTGAGGAGGCTGTGGAACATTTAGGAGGTTCAGGTTTGCTGGAGGAACTATGTCACTGGAGGCTTGCTTTGAGTGTTTATAGCCTAACTCCACTGCCAGGTCGTCTCTTTGTTTCATATTTGCAGGTGAAGATGTGATTTGTCAGCTTCCTGTTCCAGCTACCCATCACCATACACCCCCCCACACACACACACACCTCTCACGGCTCACATTGTAGACGCTAACCCTCTGGAATTATAAGCCAAAATAAACTCTCCCATGAGTTGCTTCTGGTCACATTTTATCACAGGAACAAAAAATAATAAATGCATGAATTTCCTTTCCTGTAACTGTGAGATAATACTCTGACAAATAGAAGTGTGGTCATGCATGCCTTTAAGCACTCGGGGAGCAGAGACAAGCAGAGATCTCTCTGTTAGTCTGAGACCAACCTGGTGTACATAGGGAGTTTCAGGGCAGACATAGTAAAGTCTGCCTCAAAGCAACAAAGCAAACAAACAACTTCTAACAAAAGTAATTAAGAAAGAAGGGGTCAGCATTGCCCACCTTCCAGGTTATACAGCCCATTGTGGCAGGGAGTCTCGATACAAGAACTTGAAGGATTGGCCACATTGTACCCACAGTTAAGAATCAAAGGTCAGGGGCTAAAGAGATGGCTCAGTGGTTGAGAGCACTGGCTGTTCTTCCAGAGGTCCTGAGTTCAATTCCCAGCAACCACATGGTGGCTCACAAACATCTATAATGAGATATGGCGCCCTCTTGAGGCATGCAGGGATATTATAGATACAGGCAGAACACTGTACATAAGTAAATCATAACAACAACAAAAAAGAATCAAAGATGAAAGAATGTATGCTAACATTCAGCTCACTTTCTCCATTTTATACAGTCCAGGGTTCCTAACATTGGGAATGGCCCCCATCACACATCCATTGACGCAATAAAATCTCCTACAGAGGCACACCATTTCCCTGGTGACTCTAGATTCCCTCAGGTTGACAACTCACAATAACAATCACAGGCTCATATCTAGATAACTGGAGGGCAGCTCATTGGTTAAGGAGTAATTTTCCTTTGCTTTCTTCTGTTTTCCAAGGGAGTAAGGAATAAATTTTGCAGTGTGAGTTTTTTGTTTGTTTGTTTTTTTCTTGCGATTGGCTTTGTAAAGATATCATGAGTTACTAGGGGTCAAATGGATGGCGGTCTGAGCCTGTTGGCTAAAGTGTAGATTCTTCTACAGTAGAGTCAGATTAGAATTTGTCAAGGGGAACTCTCTCAGACCATATTTGGAATGAACAGCAGCCTTGCTCAGATCATATCTTGTCTTGAAGCAGAAACAGCCCCATCCTTAGGCTATAAAAGTTCAGCACAACCGTTTGTCCCAGATATCAGAATAGCATCCAGAGCTCCCTGTACTTTACTGTTGTAAATGATGCTCCCCGAATGAGCAAAGACTTGTCTCAATGGCTACTATTGATCATCAACTTGACTGCATCTGGAGTTAAATGGGAGACACACCTGTGATGGATTTGCTTAATTTGAAATAGGAAGATCAGCTTTTAATCTTGCGGTGGGAGACATACCTATAACCTGGGTCATGCCTTCTACTGAAAGCCTATATAAGGACACGGAAGAAGGAAGCTTTTGTCTGCTTGTTATCACTTTGGTAGCAAGCGCATCCGTTCACTGTCATGGGAGCTACTACTTCAGGATTCCAGCACATACTGATAACCAGCCGAGACACCCAGCCTCTCAGAGTGAACAACTATTGTTGGATTAGCTGGACCGCAGCCTGAAAGTCATTCTAATCAATTCCCCATATACATACATACATACATACATACATACATACATACATACATATATATATATATACACATACATACTAGAAGTTCTATTACTCTAGAAAGTCTTATATGGATAAGCTTTCAGAAGTGGATTGTTGGGCTAAAAGCTTAGTGTGCCTTGACCTTGACACACATCTCAGATGGTGCCCTCTCTAATGCAGCAATCTGGTGCCCATTTCCTGTGGCCTCACCAATAGGGGATATTGTCTTTTTTTTTTTTTTTAAGTGCTTCTCAGTCATTGGTGAAAAATGCTGCCTTAACATTTGTTTGCTTGAAGTTTTGTTTTGTCGTCGTTGTAGTTTTTCTTGTTGAAACAAGATCTTGTTGCTTTAAGCTTGAGGCAGTTCTCGTTATTTCTGCCTCCAAAGTCCTGTGTCTTAAAGTTTTAACTTGAATTCTTCTCTGCAGGGATGAGGTTGACTTTTTCATATCATCAAGACCTATTTGTATATCCTTTGCTGTGACCTCTACTAATTTCTCTACTGACTAATGGAACTGGTTCTTACTGGCTTTTGGGAGGTCTCAGAATACTAAAGAGATTAGTTCTGGTTTTTCTATTACATTTCATTGGTTTGCTTATCTTTGCACTAATGAGCTTATTGGCTGCAGCCTTGAAATATGTTTTTATATCTGGTAGGAAGTTAAATAACTCCCCCATGACCCCCTCCCATTTTGTTTGTTTGTTTGTTTTTGAGACAGGGTTCTGTTTCACTGTGTAATAGTCCTGGCTGTCCTGGAACTTGCTCTGTAGACCAGGCTGCCTCACTCACAGAAATATGCCTGCTTCTGGCTCCCAAATAGCCCCCTTTACTACCCTTTATTCTTACATTTCCTCACATGTATTCTTTCTATTGGCTTTTCTGCTGTGTACAGATAGAGTGGTTTGGGGCTTGCTCTAAGTTCTCGGTGTTTCCTAGCTCTTGTGTCGGACACAAACTTACCAGGGTAAAAATCTCGGGGTGGCAGTGGAAAGGAGATGGGGGTGGAGGGCGGGGAGACCCCTCAGTGGTTAAGAACACTTGCTGCTTGCTGCTGCAGAGGACCAGGGTTCGATTTCCAGCACCCACACGGTGGTTCACAACCACCTGTAACTCCCTCTTCTGCCCTCTGCGAGCTATTAAGCAGGCACACGGCTGGGCTGTGCACACACAGGCGTACAAAACACTCACACATAAAAATAAGGTGAATCAATCTTTTTAAGAGGGCTGGTGGGGAGTCCAGAGACGGCTCAGAGCAATTTCCCAGCACCCAAAAACTCCGGCTGGAGAGCACAAGCCTTTTTTCTGTTCCAACCCTCACGAGAGCAAACACACCCACAGCTGCATAACTAGGCGCACAGTTAAAAATAAAAATGCAATCTTAGTACTGTGCATGGTGGTTGTCGCTTTAATCCCAGAACTCTAGAGGCAGAGGCAGGCTGATCTATAAATTTAAGGCCATCCTGGTTTAAAACAAAACAACAAATAAGAGAAAATCGGTTTTTTCTTTAAAGAACAATAAAAATTTTAAAAAATTAAGTAAACACAATGAGAAACGGCATACATTTTTCTCCCGAAGTTGCTACCGGCCATAACTACTCTTTTTTTTTTTTTTTTTTTGCAACTAGGTCTCTGCAGCTCAAGAGCCCCGGGGCCTCGGCGCGCGCGTCCCAGCATCCGGGCACCCGGCGCCGGACTAGCGGGAGCGCGCGCGCAGCCGCGTCACGTGCCCGGCGCGCCCCCGGGCCGGCGCGCGGCGGGCGGAAGTGAGGTCGCGGGCTGCGGTGTCTGCGCAGCGTCGGCGGTGGCGCGGGCCTCGGCGGGGCGAGCGGGAGGCGGCGCGGGCCCAGCGGTCGGCCGCTCGTGAGCGTCGTCGTCGTCGCCGCCGCCGAGCCACTCGCCGTGCCGGCTCGGGCCGGCGCGCGCCGGTCCCGGGGGCGCAGGCCACTGTAAGTCCCGGGGAGCCCGGGGGCGGCGGCTCGGGGCGGGCGCGGGCCGGAAGTGCGGCGCTTTGTGCAGCGCCGGGCCGGGCCGCGCGGGGAGCCGGGGCCGCCGCTTTGTCCGCCGCGGGCCGGGGGAGGCGGGGCCGGCGGCCTGTGCTCGGCCGGGGACGGAAGGTCGCCGCGGGCGCCTCGGGGTGCCGCACACCCGGCGTCCCCTGGCTTGCAAGAAAAGGCAGACTTGGGAGGGCACCTCAGCAAGGCAGGGACGTTCCGGGGCACGGGCCAGGCTAATCTGGAAAAAGAAACCCCCCAAAAACCAAAACCAAACAAAAAAAACCCCAAAAAGGACGTCCTGCCAGCGCGTCCACGGCAGGGTGTTCTCTCTTAGTGTCTCTTGTATTGTGTGAGGCTGGTGTTTAATCAGTCACAGAGGTTTCTTGGAGTGTTTTTGCATGCGAGGAGGTTTGCTAATGAAACGGTCCACACGTGCGCATACGCGCATTAATTTTCTTTCTTCCTTTTTTTTTTTTTTTTTTTTTTAAGAAAAGGGTTGTGTAGTTCCTAGTCCTTCAGCTCTCCACTTCGCCTTGTGTAAGATGAGATTGCTTTCTGAAATATGACAAGATTTTAAATTAAAAGAGGTACTAGTTGGTGCAAACAATTAGAAAGGCGGCCTTTAAAACTTGGGTAGGTTCGGAGGTAAAGGGTGGTTTGGTTTGACAGCCAAGATTTGAGAAATCTAGGCTGCTTTTACTAATGCCGAAGCCACCACGGTGGAAATGGTTGGCGATTTTGCTTAAGTCTTTGTGTAAAGCACGCATACTAAGCGTCTGTAGTTTACTCAGGCAGTATTTTGACGTGCATGAAAACCTTTAAGGGTGTTTAAATTAATTGGGACCAGGACCAAAGGAAAGTTAAGACCTGGCAGACGACGGTTGCTGCAGGGTTTGAGTTGCTTGCCTCTGCGCTCACCTAGGTCGTGCTTGAGATGCAATTGCTAGAATTGCCCTCCTCCACACTCCTTCTCCTAAGGGTGCAAGTGACCCTCTGCATAAGGCAAGCGCCCGGAACCCCAAGGGAGAGGAGGAAGCGGCCACAGATTGGTTTGGACTAGCTCTACGCCTGCCTTTTAGGCCATTTTAATGTTAGACAGAATGGTAATACTGTATTAATGTGATTTGAAGCCCGGCGGGGGAGAATAGCAACACTGCAGAGATAAGTGATTGGAGTTGACCAAAATAAGACATTTAAAGAACAAGTTTTGTAGGTCTGGTGGTTTAAGGGAAGTTCTCTCCCCAACTTGTCTTATATAGACAGTTCGTTTCAAAGCATGCGTGTGTCAGTGTAATAGTAAGGGTGTAACTGCTTCTGTCTGTGTTCTGTCTGTGCTTTTTGAGATTAGAGTGCTCTCTGCAGAAACACATGAGTTTTCCCTGGGAGGCGTGGAGAGTTTTCTTGTAAGACCGCACTCTCCTTGCTGTCAGAGGCCACTCAAACTTTGCACTACTGATTATTTTCCCCCCCTAATGAGTTTGTAGCTTACTTATTGGTGCCTCTGGATAGAAATGATAAAAACCCCTGAAATTAGCGTTGCTGCTACGAAACAAACTATCACGAGCCTTGAAAATTTTGCAATTAACTCTTCAGCTGAAAGCTAATGTTTAAGTCATGGTATGGTTTAAAACTCAGCATAGGGGCTGGAGAGATGGCTCAGCAGGTAAAAGTGCTTTTTTTGCAGAGGACTTTGTTTCCCCAGTACCTGTGTCAGCCAGCTCACACTGCCTGTAACCCCAGCTCCATCCAAAGCATTTGGTACCCGCTTTGATCCCCATGGGCTTGCGAGTTCGCTCTCTCTCTCTCTCTCTCACACACACACACACACATACACACACAGTCATGGCATTCACTCACAAGGCACAAACATAAATAAAAATAATAAAAATCTATCTTGATTACCCGGCTTGGGGAGTCTGTTTTGTAATTTTGCCTTTTCCCACCCTGGAGCTGAGGACCTCAGGTGCTTAGGACCCTGGGTGCTCTAGCCACTGAGCTAAATCCCTAACCCCATAAAAACAAATTCTAGAAAACTCGAGAAAGTCTTTCATTTTAATGCCATGCTTGTAATTGCTGAATTTATAGTTGAGGAACGCTTGTAGTCTTTGTACAGCTAAGTGTGCGGTTGGTTTGTTTTGACACAGGCATCCAAACACCCACGGTGTTCCCACAGTTAAGTAATTGCAAAGGGGAGACCTAATAATTCTACCCCTGCATTCAGTTGAGGGCAGGTACTGGGTCTGCCCCAGCTCAGAATGGGGGTTGGTGGTGGTTGTGTGACCAGGGGTGCCAGAGACAGGGCTAGATTGGTGCCCTGGGCCTTTCTTTGTTTTTCCACGATAAAGACAGAGAAACGGTGTATGCAGTCATATTCCCCACATACTGAAGTAAAGTTTACTAGCATTTTGCAGTATTTGCCCTTTTAAAAAAATTAAATTACAGGTATCATTCATAATTGTCTTTCTAAAAATTTATATATTGGCATATAAACAATACCATCACCACAGATAGCAAGCTCCACTGTTGGGTGCTCAGCCTGTGTTCACTTTCAAGCCATATCATTAAAATATGTTCTGTTTTTACAGCTCTTCCCACATAAATCAGACTCTAAACAAAGTCTACTTATTGTCTTTTGTATAAATCTAGTTTTATGTCAGACACCCTCCCTTGCCTGCCCCTGTGTTCATAACATTGAAGGACAGACATTTGTCCTTGACAGTGCCCTCTCTTTGGCTTTATGTGGTTAGCTTCGTGGTCCCATTCCATGTAACCCTCAAACTCCTTGACTTTCCTGTACACTGGACATTAGGTATTGGCTCTGTTTGACACGTGGAGCATAGCACCTTGGGTGTAGAGGGTAACAGACTCTTGTCATGTGAGGGTACATATAATGGGAGTAGTTAGTTTGATGTGATATGTTGACATTTCACGTCTGCTAATCAGATGTGCTTTGATAATTCCGGGTTAGACTTTAAATGCCTTAAGTTCAATTTCGTTATTAGGAGTCTGGTGCTGTCTGTGCTGGCTGTGTATTTGTGAGCTCCCTCTGTGCTGAGCACAGAGATGCAGGGAGACGGAGCCACACGAGCTGTTTCCCCTGCTTTTAGGGGAATCTCCCCATTGAGTAAATAATTTAAGGAGGGCTTTTTTATTGGTCACAGAATTGTTACTGCTCTTCTTTCAGCACCTAAGACATTTTACCAAATGAAAGGGGAACGGCAATGTTTTCTTCTATCAACCCTGTGCTGTTTTATCTGTCTCTTTTGGTTCTGGGCTAGAACTTTCAGACATGTGGGCAATTGAATCCAGTGTCTTGCACATTCTAGACAAGGTCTGTCACTAAGAAAGACTGGGAGCCTTTAAATACTTTTAATGCAACTGCATGATGATTTATGGTCTGGATATATTTTGATTTAACTCTGTTACAGGGGCTTTGAGGTTAATTGTATTTTCTCGTCTTAAATAGGGCTGTAGTGGATCTCTTTTCTCTTAGTCCTGATGGATTGAAGGGAGTTATGAAGGAAAGGTTACTGGGTCCTGATTGAGCACCTGTGGTTATTGGGATGCCCGGTGTTTACTTTCTGGCCCCTGTTGTTTGGGAGCAACCCAAAAACCATTGTTTTACCGTGGACTAGAATAACGTTTGCTGCCTGCTCTGTGGGGGCTAATGGAGAAAACCCTGGAAGCAAGAACTTGCCTAAGTCACCTTCTCTCTCCCCCTTTAGATCTTGAAATCATGAACCCTGTTTATAGCCCCGGGTCTTCTGGGGTTCCCTACGCAAATGCCAAAGGAATTGGATATCCAGGTAAGCGAGTTGGATTTTGTTTTTATTATTGGAACTTTTATACTTTATGTCCGTGTAGCATAAACATGTACAGTGGAGGTGCTGGTTAATTTTCTGTCAGGTAGATGCAAGCTAGAGTCTTGGGGAGAGGGATCCTCGATTGCCAAAATGCCCGCACCAGATTGCCTGTGGGGTTTTTCTTGTCAATGGTTACCGGGGGCAGTGCCACCCCTGTCCCAGGCTGTGGAAGAAAGCAAGCTGAGCAAGCCATGGCAAGCAAGCCAGTAAGCAGTGTTCACGTCCTGACTTCTTCATGCTGGACTGAAAGCTGTAAGATGCCATAAACCCTTTCCTCCTCTAAGGCGCTCTCAGACATGGCGTTTTATCACAGCAGTAGGAACCATAAGACAGTGGGCAAACCTAACTTGAGTAGAAGGGAGGGAGAGAGGGAAGTAAGAAGGTAGTTGAGAGAAAACTCAAGAGATGCCTGCCTTGCCCAGAGCTGGTAAGTCCTGTGGGTGGGGCCAAGACCCTCTTTCTCTACCTCTCGGTCCCTTTTAGTAGGAGCCTCATGGTCTCTGCGGTATAAGAAAGCCCAGTGTGGTATTTCCCTAGACTTTAGTGAGTGCAATCAGCCAGCTGAGCTGAGGGAGGCCATAAAGCAAAACACTGGAGACTGGGACTTTGGTCAGCTGTTGCAGATGGTTGTCTGCAGGTGACTAAGCAGGAGGTAGGTATTTGTGTGTTACAGTTTCGTTGTGGGTGTCCCCCCCCCATACTGAGCATGGAACCCAGAGCTCTGTGTATGCTGTGTAACTGCTGCTCCTCGCTGTCTCTGTACCCCCTTTGTATTTTTGAGACAGGGATTCGCTACATTATTTATTGACTTTGCAATCTCTGTGCCTCAGCCTCTGAAGTAGCTGGTGTTGTACTCACTTGTCACCATGCTCGGCTTTCATTCTGGGGTTTGAAATACTTTGACTGGAGATAACCATGTTGGGACACACTCTAAGAAAATGGAGGAAAACTGAACTTGTAAGAGGGGAGAGAGTGTTCAGCCAGATTTGAAAGTGATGCAAGCCCAGGGAGTTACTGTATCTGCCCTGGAACATTTGCTGCTGTTTGTGGGATTCTAGCAGCCCAAATGGGGACAGAACAGGCTGCATAGAAAGAATCTCCTGCGGGCTGGGAGTTAAGAGTCTCTGGGCTCTGTCCTCAGGCCATCTCTCTTGGGAGTGGTCCTCCTACCCAAGGGGTGGGGAGAATCTGTTTGCTGGCTCCATGGGGAAGCATGTGTGTCTTTAAGGCTCTGAGAAGAGCAGTCTTTCCTAAGTGCTTGTAGACATTCTGGGGCATCGAGGCTCCTGTTGATATTACTTATACCTCCTAGTGGGGGCATCCAGAAGTTGAAGCCACCCAACATACTCACTCACTGTGCTGCATTACCCCTGGAGTACCCGGCAGATGCAGAGTCACTGTGAAGTACCTGTCTGCAGTGTGCGTTGTTTGGTCTCCTGCAGAAAGTACTACCTGCTATGTGCAAAATCGCCATAAGGCACACGTGCTGCTGTGTTAGGCAGAGCTAGAGTAACTACTGCATGGGAACCAGCAGGTAGAAGCCATGTCACGAGAAGGTTTAGAATGCTTGTACAACAGCCACATTTCTAAGTGGAGAACAAGATGAAGAGGGATTAAGGGGAGAGAAACCACTGAAACTAAAAGAAATGGGGTTCAGAGTGGTTAGTCCAGTGAAATCTAGAGCGACGTGAACACAGAGCGCTGCTGAGGTCAGCCAAGTGTAATGTAAGTAAAAGCGAGAGGAACTAGGCTGACCAGTTAAGAATTTGGAGGGTGAGGGCCGGAAGGCGGCTCAGTGTGGACCTGAGTTAGGGCCCCATATCAGACAGCTCACAGTGCTGCTCCTCCAGCTCCACGAGACATGATGCCCTCTTCTGAACCCCTCAGGTACCTGCCTGTACCTATGTCCTAATGCACATACACATGGGAACAATTTTCCAGAGTTGACGAAAAGCAGTTTAGGTGGTAAGACCTACTGTTTTTAAAGTGTTAACACTGGTTTAAACGGAGTAGCTGAAGAGGGTCCTGAGTGAATTTGGAGCCAGAGCAATAACCCATGATTATAGTTCACCCGATAGCCTTTGTCTTGGTCTTGAATTCTCTGCTCATCAGGCTGGTGAGGCTGTGGGTGCTGAGAGGAGCTAACTTTGTCCTGTCCCTCGGGCAGGCAGGGCTTGGCACACCCTGTATTGAGATCCAAGTTGAGGCTCTGTATGGGGATGTGCTTCAGCACAAGGCAGTTAAGACGAACCCTTGGTATATCTGCTGTCTCTTACTGACCAGTCCTTGGTCAGAGGAATTTTAGACTAAACCATTATTTTATGTTTTGGTTTTTATTTTTTATTGAGAGAGCGTCTGGAACTTTGAAGCAACCTTAAGTGTCATTTATGTAGTGTTTTATACTTTAGTTACCTTCTATGTGTTTTTGATCTGGCAATTTTAAAGTCTCCCTGAGGATACTGGGTTCTAGTAGCGAGGGAGTCAGATCTGTGGATTATGTGCTCAAAGAATCTTAGGCCGGTGCAACTTTAGCACAAAGGTTGATGGGACATGGAGGGAAGTCTTTCTCTGGCTGCTGTCTTGTGTAATGATTATTGGTATTAAGTATTGTTTGTTATTGTCGTTTCCTTGTTTATTTGTTTAGTTTTATTTTAATTTTTGTTTTCTTTTTATCTTTTCGAGCTAGAATTTCTCTGTAGCTTTGGAGTCTGTTCTGGAACTCTGTAGATCAGGCTGACCTGCAACTCACAGAGATCCATTCGTCTACCTCTGCCTTCTGTGTGCTGGAATTAAAGGCATCTGCCACCACCTCCTGGCTCTGATTTTAATTTTATTTTATGTGTTCAATACAGGCAATAATCAGAAGTGGAATATAATGTCAGCTTCTCTGGCTGTGAGCCACCATGTGGGTGCTGGGGTTGAACTTGGGTCCTCTGTACGAGCAATATGTCCAGCCCATTTCCTCATTGATAACACCCGGGTCTCTTCGTTTGCATTTCTTCCTTGTCATCTTTTCAAAGGGACCCATTATACTTACGTGTGTTACAGACATGTGCCATGGCTTGCCTAGGGAGGCCAGAGCACAGGTTAGGGAACCAGCCCTGTCCTTGTACCACACGGGTCCCAGTGACCCAACACAGGCTGCTAGGCTTGGCGACAGGTCCCTTAACCTACTGAACTTTCTTGCTTGCCTTGCTGTGGTGGTGTTTGTTTTTTATTTTGTTTCTGTTTGTTTGTGTATGTGAGGTGGGGAGAGACTGAGACCCTTGTGTTGTAGAGTGCTTGCCAAGCATTCAAGACACTAAGTTTTGTTCCAGCACACACACACACACACACACACACACACACACACACACACACACACACACACACCCACCCACCCAGGTGAGGATAGTGACTTCGTGCATGATGCTGAGTGTTCTTGCTGTGAAACTGCAGGGGATGTTGGGAATTTTAGACTCCATCTTGAATTTTTCTCCCTTTTCTCTTCGTCCCTTCTTCCTCCCCTCTTTCCTTATGCTAAAAATTATGACTTAGCTGTTAAGCTGTTCCTCTTTTTTAAATCTAGACAGGGTCATGCTGTGTGTAACCCTCATTGGTCTGGAACTCGGCTACTTACTTGTCTCCCAAGTGCTTGGATTAAAGATGTGTACCACCATACCTGGCTTTACTTGTCTGTTCTTACATAGTTGTTTTGGCCCTGGGATTGAACCTCGGGCCTTGCACATGCTAAGGGAGTACTCTACACTAAGTTGCACACCTGCCCTTAGATTCAGCTGTTCTGGACAGTGGACTGCTAATTCAATTTCCACCTGATCTTTTTTTTTTTTCCCCCTAGATGTAGAATGTGAGCATTTATTTATAGGTCTAACAGACTGGATTACGTTTGTGACTCACTAAAATTCTGAGAAAAAATGATAACTAGAGACAATTTTGTGTGAGCACAGTATGTAAAGTTCTAGAAACAACGATAAGGAGGCCTGGTGTTCAGGTATCTGCCCTTTGTTGATAATGCTGTTGTGCTTTGTTTCCCTGCAGCTGGCTTTCCTGTGGGCTACGCAGCAGCTCCTGCCTATTCTCCTAACATGTACCCCGGAGCAAATCCCACCTTCCAAACAGGTGTGTACTGCATGGCAGATACCTTTCAAGTAGCTGGGGGAGGAGGTGTGGAATTAGGATTTGTGGTTGGGTGGCTTTCTACATTCATAAAGGAACTTGTCTATGAGTTTTTATCAAAATTTAGTTCTGAGTGCACATAAGCTTTGCTTTACTGAGTGTCTCAGGTCCCTCACATCACAGCATCTGGGCTGTACGGGTAATTTCTTGTGCCAGCTATCTCTTCTTAGGGTAGGACTTAATGCTAGGAACTCAAGACCAGTTTGTCATTGAGTTCTGTCCATAGTGCAGTGATATATTTTAAAAAGCAAACTTTGTTTTCTTTTTAAAATAGTGTTTGAGAACATTTTCAGATTCGAGACATTGCTGGTTAAAATTGAAGATGAGTGTGTTTGATTTGTGAGATTTTCTCCTACACCCTCTGGTGTGAGCTGTCAGCTTCTCTTGGGCTTTAGTCACTCAGGACAGGGTGATTGCTTTGAGGGTGTTGGCTCGTGCTTTGACAGAGCTGAGCTTGACCCATGGGAGATGTCTGGCAAGGCTGCTGTGAAGAAACCAGCAGTGCCCTTGCTGTGGATTCCTTTCTTGTGACTCATGAAGTCTGCCCTTTTACCCATCTCTTCTGTGCCCAGCCTGACTGCCTTTCTTAGCTCAGACCCAGAGGAAACTTTGGACATGGTGTTTCTGCTTCTGCTTCATGTTCCTGCTCACTTAAGTCATGTGAGTGTACATGGCAATGTGCCCAGAAGTTTAATGGTTTCCCATCTCTAGGAGACAAGACTCTCTGCTTGAACCTCCTGGCTCTTTGCCGTAGTGGCTCCTCTCTCCACAAAGCCCCTCCTCTTGTGAGTTTTGTCTAGTGCCTTTTCGCATACTTGGTCTCCTGTACCTGCTGGTAGACTTGTGAAAAATCTTCAGCATGTTCCACAACGTTACTCAGCAGGGTGCCAACAGTTCTGCACCCTGTCCCTTTTGGTAAGGCACTTTACGTTCTGTAGCTCCTGTCGAACAGTGCCCTTGTGTATGGAAATAACATAACAAACTGCACATGTGTCATCGTTTTAGCTGGGAAGTGTCCCTCTGTCCCAGTTGGTAGTGAGCATACCTGTTTGGGCAAATTTTGTTCTATTTCAACCTTACTGGACACCAAAGAATCACAGGTGTGTTTTCACTTGGTATGGATGAGTTTTCTAAATTTTGTGTGTAAATGGAATCACAGAATGTACTTAGTGTTTGTGTGACTGGCATCTTTTACTGGGTGTAAGTCCTTGGGCTTTTCTGTTGTGGTACCTATTACTACTTCCTCCTCTCTGTTGCTAGGTTGTGCCCATTGTTTGGGAAACATCACTTGCTTATCTGTGACTAGCTACTGGCATTTGTGCTGTTTGACTTTGGGTGATTGGGTTAAAATTCATTTTGCAAATATATTTTTAGCATAAGTTTATAGATATATGTTTGGTTTTTTTTTTTTTTTTTTTTTTTTTTTTGAGTAAATGCAAAGAGATGAAGTGGCTGACTCTTAGGGCAACTAAGAAAATGTCAAAAGTCTCCCAGAGTGATTGCTATCTATGTTCCCCTCATTTATGTATTTATTAGTTCTAGGCCTCTGTGTCATTTGTAGCTCTGGTATGATCAGTCTTTTCTACCCTCGTTGTACTAGTGGGTAGCTAATGATTTAAAATTATAGTTTTGTTTTGAACTGCCATGACAGTTACATTGATCATCTTTTCATTTGACTGACTTTGGTAAAGAATTGTGCTTCTGGGCCTGGTCCACTAGATACTCTGGGGGCTGATGCAGGTGGATCATAAGTTCAAGGCGTGTCTGGGCTACAGAGTGAGTACAAGGCTAGCATACACAACTTAGAGAGACTCCGTTTCATATGCAGAGTGAATGAGGGACTGGAGATGAAGAGATGGTTTCAGTGGTTGAGAACAGCTGTTACCATTGCAAATTGTAGGTTCTAAACCCTGTGAGGCAGCCCCAGGGGATCTGACACTAACCTGCACACACGGGTGCAGACACATAACACATCATTAAAAATAAACATTCAATTTCTGGGTAAAATCAGTGATGGAGGAGTTCACAGCTTATGCAAGGACCTGGGTTCAGTCCCTACTAGTGCCCCTCCAAAAGGGGAGGGGCACTGTCTTTAACAGTGGCAGTTACTAAGTTCATTTTTAAGGCAGTTAGCAATTTTATTTTTATAGATTTTGTTTGGAGATTTGTACTTCTTTCTTTCTGTATGAGCATTTGTTTACATGTATGTTTTGCACCACATGCCTGTCAGGTACCTGCAAAGGCCAGAAGAGACTGGTGGTTCCCTTGAAACGGGTTACAGGTGGTGTGAGCCACCAGGTACATATTGAAAACCAAATCTGGGTCCTCTACAAGTGCAGCAAATGCTCTTCTTAGGCATCTTTCCGGCCCAGTTTTTGTTTTGTTTTTGAAACGATTTTTAAGTGTGTGTGTTCCTGTGTGAGTTTCTTTGTAGCATGTGCAGGTACCTAGGAGCCAGAGAGAGAGAGAACATCGGATCCCCTGGATCAGGGGTTTCAGGCCGTTGGGAGCTGCCTCACATTGGTGCTGGGGACTGAACCCAGGTCTGTGCAAGAGCAGTGTGCGTTTTTAATCACTGAGCCATCTCTCCAGTGCGCATCTCTTCCTCTTCCCCACTCAGGGCATCTTGAACTCCTGGTCTCAACCTCCTGAGTAGCTGAAGGTGAGATGCCCTGCTCACCTGCCTAGATACGTTCCATTGCTAGGTTTTTAAGAATTATTTATCAGATTCATGATTACAGAGGGTTTTCTCCTAGTGTTTTCCTCCTTCTGGATGTCTTTCACAGAACAGAAGTTTTAAAACTTTGATGGGGTTATCATTCTGATCTTTTGTGGATTACATTTCTGGTATCCTGAAAACCTTCCCCAAATGGGGATTTTCTTATGCCCCTGCCCCCTCCCCCAGTGGTTTTAGCTGGTACATTTGGGGCTTTTGCTCATTTGGAGCTAATTGTACATAGCACTCAGTTAGGTTGAAAGGCATCTTTGTGGGTTAGTGCTTCCTGCTCTCATGCTGTAGCACACCATTTGTACTTACCTCTTTACCTAACACCAGTTTTCTTCCTAGAGTTCAAGCCCCTGTGAAAAGGACCAAAGACTTTCAACTCATTTTCATAATTTTCCTAAGAGTGTCAAAAGCAAGGGTGTGTGTAGGACAACGATAGCCACCTTCTCTCAGCTGTGCCGCTAGAGACAAGGGTCCCTTTTTGCCCTCTTTTCAGGACTGCTCTCCTCTCTGAGGGACCCTGAGTGCGGAAGCAGTGGTCCAGGAGAGCGACTGGCCCTTAGCTGCCAGTCTCTTTACTTGTGCTTTTGTTTCCTGGAGGCTAGGGATAAAGATGCTTGCGTGAACTGGTGAAGACGGGGGACTCGGAAGGCCTTGCTGTCTTCACCATGCTGTAGGCACCTGATGCAAGCCAGGTCTGTGTGCTCCTCTTTTATGGGTTCTTGAAATGCCATCTCCCTCTTCGGAGGACCCAGGCTAGCTCATCACTGTAGACACAGTAAGAAGGGAAGTTTTTGTGAGTTTTGCTGCTTTCTCGATTGTTCTAGCATAGAGGCGCAGGTCTCGAGGCCTTCCTGGGCACCTTTGCAGTGCTATGGTTCTTTTTATCTTTTTAAGATTTATTTTTGTTCTCTGTGTGTACGAATGTATGTCTGTGTACCGTGTGCATGCTTGGTGTCCACAGAGGCCAGGGAAAGGTATCAGAGCCCCTGGAACAGGTGGTTATGAGCTGCCATGTGGATGCTGGGGCTGAACCTGGATCCTGTGCAAGAGCAGTGAGTGCTCTTAACCCTGAGCCACCCTGTTCTTAGTCCTCCTGTGTGTCACAGGAGTCTGAGACCCTTTGGATTTGTGGTGGCTTCTGGTGATATATTCTGTTGCATGGTCTGGAAGCAGAGGAGACCCTTCTATTTTGAACAAATGTAGGCTGTAGAGGTAAATCTGGAGTGGATTTCCATGCTGCTAATCTTCTTTGGAACTGAGCTAGTGAAGCTCGCCTCCTGGTGGTGACACTGGGAACTACAATTTCATCCCTGGTGGGACTTAGGCTGTGTCAAGGGAGGTTCATGATCAGATTTGGGCAGGCCAGGCACTTAGTACATTCAGGTCGTCTTGGTCCTGGTCCCACGGAATGGCTCAGGTGCATTAGTGGCTGAAAGCCTCAGGAAAAAGTTACTGATGATGCTTACTGTGTAGCCCTGGATGGCCTGGAAGTCACTGTGTAAAGCAGGAGAGTCTCGAGCACCCAGGGAGCTCCTGCCTCTGCCTCTTCTGTTCTGGGATCAAAGGCCTGCGCCACCATGCCCTGTCAAAGCATGTTTTTAAAAGGCAAACTTCCTGCTGAGAGTTAGATACACTAACACAGTTATTAGCCAGGCAGACGTAAGTACAAAGGCATCTTACAGCAAGTTGTCAGAGTGTTTATCTGGTTTAATGCCATTGTTTTGTTTATGAAGGATACTTAACAATAAATGAAAATACAATACAATATAGGCTTTTTTGGTGTTTGGTTTTTTGAGACAGGGTTTCTCTGAGTAGCCCTGGCTGTCCTGGAACTTGCTCTGTGGGCTACGCTGGTCTTGAAACTCACAGAGATCCACCTGCTTCTGCCTTCCAAGTGCTGGGATTAAAGACGTATGCCACCAGCACCTGGCTTTTTTCTTTTTAAATTGAGAATTCTGTCTTTGAAGTGAGATTCCAGGTTTTTTTAAACAGTAAGCTTATTGAATGGCCAGCTACGTAAAAGGAGTTAGCATTAGAGTGTTCATAGACTGTGGGTTTGTAGAGTATATAGGAACAGAATCTTGCGATAACTATACTTTAGAAAGCTTTTTAACATTACAGCAAGGGTCTGGTGGTGTGGCTTAGTTGGTAGAGTGCTTACATAGTGTGCATAGTTCCCCAGACTACAGAAACTCAGAGTGGTGGCTCATTGGGGCTAGAGGCAGGAGGATGGGACATGTAGGGAAGTCTTCTGCTGTAGAGTGAATTTCGGGTCTTCCTGGGCTATGTGACACTGTCTCGGGAGGGAGGGAGGGACGGAGATTGTTTGCTACCAGTGTTCCAGTGCCTGTCTACTCTGATGCCATTGCACTCCTACTGCTGTCATTTTGTTGGAGCTCTTTCTGTGTTCCCAGGTATTGACTTGACTGTCAGGGTTCCTATTTGTTCTTATGGATTTGTCGCTTTGGGTGACAAGGATTTAGTTGTTCTTTTACTTGCCTGCCTTGTCATTACTGTGGCCCTGCCATTTGTATGCGGTGGTGGCTCTTCTGTGCCTGCCTTTCTTTCCTGCCCTTGGGGTCTCTCTGTGTCAGGACTCCTGGTGGAGCTTCTGGCCCGGGCTGTCCCCGTACCCTGCCTTCTTGAGCTCCTGTGGAAGCCCTCGCTCTGGCTGTAGCCTGAGTCCTAGTCTGGAGCACTCCTCTGCAGAGGCCTGGGGCTCTGCCTTACTTTCCTTCAGTCCTTGCTCTCTTTCGTGGTTCCTACTTTGCTTTTGTGGAGTAGTTCCTTCAGTAGCTTCCCAAGAGATTAGGAGGGAGTCCTGTTTTAAACATGCTCACACTCCCACCCCACCCCCACCCCTAACTGTAAAAACATTTTCTGCATCTATACCCCACCTCCCAATAGTTCTTGTAGAGTGACTTATGGGCTAGCAGCCATTGCTCCTAGGGTTGTGAAGGCAAAACACTGAGAGATGGCCAATAATTGTTTATATTTGGAATGAGGTTCTACTTAATGCTACATATTGAATCTGTTTATGAAGTTGAATTTACATCTTTAGCCTCCTTTAAATCTGTAACAGCTTGCCTAACCTTAAAAAAAAACACTTTGTCTTTTTTTAAAAAATGATTCTTTTGTTTGTTTTTGTTTGCAGTGCTGGAGATTGAACCCAGGGTCTTGCACATGTTAGGCAAGTGCTCTATCTGAGCTATGTTCTTGGCCCTTTGTGTTTTGTTTGTTTGTTTGTATGTTTGCCTTTAAGATATAAACACTCATGTGTATGAGTGTTAGCCTGCATGTATGTGTGTGCACCATGTGTGCCCAGTGCCTGAGGCGTTCAGAAGAGGGTGTCAGGTCCCCTGGAACTGCAGTTGCAGGTATTTGTGAGCTGCCATGTGAGTGCTGGGACCTGAACCCAGGTCCTAACAGAGCAGCCAGTGCTCTTAACCTGAGCACTCTGGCCAGCCTATACTATGTGCGCTGAGGTAGAGCTGAACTGTGAAGCCTAGGCTGGCCTTGAATTCTCTATTCTCTTACCTCAGCTTCCTGAGTGCTAAGAGTCTAGGTGTGGTGTCACACACACCTCCTTAGAGTTTCCATTAGAGACATTCCAGGCGCACTTGGCACTTGGAATGCGGCAGAGTGTAGTCCCTACTTCCCAAGTCCCTGGGCTTTGCCTGCCACCAGCTCAGAGTCGCTCTTTCATCACTTTTCCTGTGTTTTTGAACAACTCTCATAGAGCATGCTGACAGTGTTTAGAAGTATCTAATAAAAGTATATATAATGCTACCATCACACCTAAAGCATTCATTATTAGTGCTCCACTTTACAGATATGTCATCTGTATTGTGAGTGCTTATTTGTGTTTCTTTGGGCCCCGTTTTTAAAGCCGTGTGAAAACTGATGACTTGTACTCCCAAGTTCTGAATGTGACTCCGATAACACCTAGCATCTGTTCTCAAAGTGTGACACCCTTGAGCACTTGAGAGTTGATATTTCCCCCGTGTGACAGTACTGATTCCTCAGAGGATCTCACTCCCTTTTGCATTTTTGGTTTTAAGCAGTGCACCCGTACTGGCCTCAGATTCAAAGTCTCTCTTGCCTCAGCTTTCAGGGGGCAGGGGTTGCAAACATGTAAGTTCTTGCCAGATGGCCCCCTTGAGGTTCGTGGAATTAATGGGGCAGAAGTTAGATTATAGTAATTGAGTGGGGATCAGACTTAGTAAGGGGAATGTTCTCTCTGGTGTGGTTGTGGTTGTGATAAGTGAAGGACGGTGTTGACAGGGAGTGTTCTACTTCCTGTGTTTCCTAAAAGTCGAGTTCCTGTTGTAGAGGGTTGGCTCCTTCCTGGTTATCCACAGTAGGGCCTGGCTCGGTATCTGTGACAGACAGGTGCTGTACTGCTCCTATGGCCTGGCCTAGTGGCAGGTGCTTGCTTAGTCTTTTCATGATGAGAGCTTGCACTTGGGAGAAGTTAGCACTGTCCTAGATCTTCCCCTTGGAGTGTTATTGAAACCAGGACTGGAGGGATCTCAGATTGCTTTTCCCTAACTTAAAAATGATTTACAAATTTGTTGTGTATAATTGGCATATAATAAAGTTGAACATATTTAAAACTTCGGATACCATCATGAAGCAAAAACATTCCCCTGTGGATAGGTTCCACAGCCTACTTGGAGTGCACACCCCCTAGTGACTTAGCCTTCTCACTGCTAGGCCCCGCCTCTTAAAGGTGCATCAGCCTCTTGTGCTACCTACTACACTGCACAGCAGCCTTTCCCGTAGGGACCTTAGTGTCCAAGCCGTGATAGTCTCTTTATGTGCTCTTGTCTGAGCATTTGCTTTATAAATCCTAATGGAAAATCTATATATTTGGCTCTCTTGGCAAAGCATCAGTATTGAAAGTTGGTATATTTAAAATTGGTAGATATTGTAGAATTCATTAATTTTCTCTGCTAAATAATAAATTAAATTTTTAAATTAAAATTGTTTGACCTTGGTTCATTGCTTTAAAATTAAGACACAATTTATGCACATACATTCACTTATTTAGTGTGTATTTGGATGAGTTTTCACAGTTGAATTTTGGCACTGTGGAGCCATCACCTGCTCCCCCCCCCAAAAAAAAAAATATCTGGGACATTTTTCATTGTGCTAAAAGGGCTTTCCTTTTCTTCTCCCCTTCTGATTTCTTCCAGAGATTTAAAACTCTGGAATTTGAAAAAAGATGGACTGGGCAGTTCTTAGATATGCAAATGATCATTTTTTAAGTGCTGTTCTGTGTCTGGCTTTGAAAATACATTGAGGTTTGAGATTAATTTTTAAGCCTGCCTGCCTGCCTCTCTCCCTCTCTCCTTCCCTCCCTCCCTCCCTCCCTCCCTTCCTGTTTGCTAAGTAGTGTTTTTGAGGCTGGGTCAGATTTATGTGTAAGGCTGGAGAACATGTTTTCCAAGTTCTATTGTGGACCCTAGGGGTTATTGCTAGCGTCCTGAGATGTGTCTCTGTAGATTGAGACTTTGCAATTCTGACACCCAGGACAGCTGAGTGCCCTGTGCCACAAGTTTGCACCAGCGACAACATGAAGGCCATCATGGCTTCTTCAGAAAGCGCTTGTGCAGAAGTAGAATGATGAGAACTGGAAGCTGTCCTCAGAGTCCATGTGGTGTTTGCTGTGTGTGGTTGGTTGTGCATTCTTGGGAAAGAACCATAATTGCAGGAAGAAAAGGTGTATATGCCATTAATGCCAAGTTGAGCCGGGGAAGGCCATAGGAGTTTCTATTCCAGCAAGTCAGGAGATTCTCGTTTTCCTGCCCTGGCCACTGCCTTGAAGTTTTCAATCACTGGGTTCTCCCTAGGGTTTCCTGTCAGCCCTTTGCAGCGTGCTTTTGTGTGGCTTTCACTAAATACAGTTATCTTGGAGTTTGTCCTGTGAATCAGCAATTGGTCCCATTGATGCACCAGAGAATTGTTGATGGCCAGTTGCAGTGGTCTGAACGCTCGTTGCTGTTCCCCAGTAGCTGGTTAGTCAGTCCTTCTGGAGCCTTCCTCAGCCCCTGAGTACATTTGTAGCCTGCAACTGCCAGCTCAGATGCCCGCTTTGGTGGGTGGAGTCAGGCTGCCCCCTGAGAGTACCGCTTCACATGGCTGTAGGGCGCTGTCTTCTCTTCCCCTCTTGGTCATGTAGCTTTATGTGTTGTATTTCTTTTCTTTTTACAAGATTATTTGGTTATGTGTGTCCGTGTGTGGGTTTTGCATGTGAGTCCAGTACCCTTGGAGGGCAGAAGAGGGGGTTGGATCCTGTGGCGCTGGGGTTAAAGGTTGTCAGTGGCCTAGTGTGGGTGCTGGGAATTGAACTTGCGTCCTCTAGAATAGCAGTACGTGCTCTTAGCTGCTGCACCATTTCCTCAGCATCTTCTTCGCATGTTTTCTGTTTCGTATTCTGCTTTATTGTTGTTTTCATTTTATTTTTGGTAAAGATGATGCAAATCCACCCCCCCAAACACACACACACATACACACACACACACACATACACACACACACACCTACCTTTCTGCTACGGCGCTTTTCCAGGCTTTATTGTTCAGTTAGTTTCTTTAGTTTTGCTGTAATGATCAACACAGAGATACGCTTGCTTGCAGTGACTTTTTTTTTTCGTGTGTGTGTGCGTGTGCGTGTGCATGCTTATTTCCCTAAGATAGACTTCTGGACCTTGATTGCTGGATGAAAAGGTGTAATGCCAGGTTGAGCTGAGAGGCCATAGCAGTTTCTGTTCCAGCAAGACGGGACAGGCTCTTCTGTGCATACATGCTCTGTAGAACTCACCACCACACGTGCATACTTGCACATAAAGCTGAGACACCCAGGTCTCACTAGAGAAGAGAGACAGGGCTGCAATGGCAACAGCCCCTCACTGTGCTCACGATTGCTGGCAGCCCTGGCTCCTTCCCCCGCAGTCATCCTTGTCTGGCATTGGCCGGTGAACTCAGGGTTTTCACTTCTTTGTTCCAGGCTACACTCCTGGTACACCTTACAAAGTGTCCTGTTCCCCAACCAGTGGGGCTGTGCCGCCATACTCCTCCTCCCCCAACCCCTACCAGACGGCCGTGTACCCAGTGAGAAGTGCCTACCCCCAGCAGAACCCATATGCCCAGGTATGCTTGGGCCATGCCCTGCACCTTGGGGAAGGGAAGGTCGGCTCCATCCTACCCCTGCAGCCCTGGGGTCCTCTAGCAGTTGTCTCTGTTTTCCCCACAGCAAGGCACGTACTATACGCAGCCTCTGTATGCGGCGCCCCCTCACGTCATTCACCACACCACGGTGGTGCAGCCCAATGGCATGCCAGCAACTGTCTACCCCGCTCCCATCCCTCCTCCCAGAGGCAGCGGGGTCACCATGGGCATGGTTGCCGGGACCACAATGGCCATGTCAGCAGGTGAGTCCTAGTTCTTGGTTTTTGTATTTTGTATTTTGTGTCAGCCTGAGAGCTGGCTGAAGTGTAGAGGGTCCATGAAGTTCTGGCCCTTGGCATTAGATTCTCATGGCTTGAGTTGTATGGAAGGACTGGCCCTCCCCTGTCCCCTCCCTTTCTCCTTTTAGGGACAGGCCAGGAATCAGGTTGCCTCTACTGTGGAGCATAACTGAACAGCACACTTGGTTAGTGAGCTAGGAACAAGGAGGGTCAGGTCACCCTCATTTGCCCCACCCCTCATGAGCCGCTAAACTGAGTGTGGGGTAGGTACCTTGTGTTCCGGGGGGGGGGGGGGGCAGCCATGCCTGTTGGTCAGGTTACTGTAGTGAGTGTTTGAAAAAACTAGCTTTGCGTTGATGGAGGGGATAAATAGCTGCTTGTGGAAACCCTGTGCCATTTATGTACTGAATCAGGAAAGTGGGTTGGGGCATCCTCCGTGGACGTCTGAGGTTTGATGGAAGGTGGAAGGATGACTTCACCTCTTGACCTTTCAGTGTACGTAGCTGCCTTTCAATACACGGTGACATATTCTCCATGACTGGGATTTAAGAAGAAGGAAAAAAATCAAGCCATTCTTTAAAAAATATTTCTGGACTCCAACCAACATAAGATTATGTCAGATATAACATGGTGGATTCTGTTTACTTCTACTTAGAATCTCCATTTAGTTTTCTGAGTTTGTGTTGTTAAAGTGAAGACTTGCTACTGCCTGAGGGTAGCTCCCGAAGGAGGGGTGTGACCCAGGCTTTCCCCACCTTGAGTTGTGGAGGTGTGGGTTAACCCTAGAGCCACGCAGGCCATTCATTGCTAAGTGTACATATGTATGGAATATAGAACTCCCTCGTGTATGTGTTCATGTTCTCTCCTTCTCCCTCTCTACCTCTTCCCCGTGTGTCTGTCTGTCTGTCTCTCTTCCCTCCCCTCTCTCTCCGCCTGCCCCCTCCAGTATACAACTCTGTGAAGTATACCCGTGTTGCTGTGAAATGGGTTTCCAGAACATTCACCCTACGAATCTAAAATTCCTGAACCCATTAAACAGACACTCTCCTTTTCCTTCCCCGAGCTGTGGCGTTCACTATTCTGTGCTCTGCCTTGTGAATCTGACAGCCTTCAGAACCTCGGAAAAGTGGGAACTTAAGTTGTTTTCCCTCGCTGGCCTTTTCACTTAGCACAGTGTTCTCAAAGCTCACTTCTCTGACTCAAGGGTCAGAGTTTCCTTCCTGTTTCAGGGAATTAATACTTTTTATAGCTATGTGATCTGCCAAAATGAGTGCATGTTCTGAAGGGGAGTTGGTCGTACCCGCACCATAACTGCTGGCTCGCAGCGCCCTCTGTGCTTTGGGATAATCTCCCTCCTGCTTCAAGACCATCGCTCCTCCCTGTGTCTCCCGGGCTTGTGTTTTCAGAGGCCACAGGGCAGAGCTCTGCTGGAGAGGTCACTTGTGTCTTTTTTGAGAAGTGTTCCTCTTTGTTCCAGGTACCCTGCTGACTGCTCATTCTCCAACTCCTGTAGCCCCTCACCCAGTCACTGTCCCCACATACCGAGCCCCAGGGACACCCACCTACAGCTATGTGTCCCCTCAGTGGTGATGGCCCTGCAAGTTAAGGTAAGTATCAGTGGATGTGCTCACTGGGTGGGCCCTGGGGAAGGTGCGTTTCCCTGAGGGAATGGGAGACTGGCCTCAGGGTTAGGCTTCTCTTTCCCAGTGATAAAACTGAGCAAAAGCAACTCGGGGGAGGGAAGGGTTGGTCCGCCCCACAGTTACCGAAGCACAGACCGCAGAGGATGCTGCTGTCCTTGTCCCCCCCCCCCCCCTGCTTGCCCAGCCACCTTCTTTACATATCCTAGCCCACCTGCCCAGGGGTCGCACCTCTAGACCTTACCTCATTAATTAGCAATCTAGAAAAGGCCACACAGACATGCCCACAGGCCAGCCTCATGCAGGCAGGCCCTCTGTTGAGATCCCTTATGCTAAGCACCTAGGGGAAGGTGCACTTTACCCTGGCGTAGTGCAGAGCTTTATGTTTTTACTCGCATTGGGATGTCCCAAGGCAGAGGCAGAAAGGAAGCCACTGTCACTGCTTGTTGCTGCCTCAGGAATGGGCGTGTGTCACCCTTCTGTTTGCTGCAGTTTGTAGGGTTCAGTTACAACGGGGGCAGGGGCCACAGGGCGTGTCTAACGTAGGGGTGTGTGTGAGGCAGGGTGTGTGAGGCGGGGTGTGAGGTAGGAGTATGTGGGCAGGGGCGTGTGAGGCAGGGGTGTGTCTGAGGCAGGGGTGTGTCTGAGGCAGGTGTGTGAGGCGGGGTGTGTCTGTGAGGCAGGGGTCTGTGAGGTAGGGGTGTGTGAGGCAGGGGTGTGTCTGTGAGGCAGGGGTGTGTCTGTGAGGCAGGGGTGTGTCTGTGAGGCAGGGGTGTGTCTGTGAGGCAGGGGTGTGTGTGAGGCAGGGGTGTGTGTGAGGCAGGGGTGTGTCCGTGAGGCAGGGGTGTGAGGTAGGGGTGTGTCTGAGGCAGGTGTGTGAGGCAGGGGTGTGTCTGTGAGGTAGGGGTCTGTGAGGCCGGGGTCTGTGAAGCAGGGGTGTGTGTGTGTGTGTGAGGCCGGGGAACAGATGCAGCAGCTGTAGCCCTGCTGTCCTCTGGAGGTTTTGATGCAGAGATGGCAGGAGCAGAGAGTGTGTGACTGTTTTCGTTCTTTCCCAGATTGAGGATGGAGCTGTGCAGTCACTTCATTGAGTTCCACAGCTGGTGCTGCAGGCCTTGTGCCTCCAACCAGGACTTTGTTCTTAAAGCTCTCAACACATAGCTGAACATGACTGCGTCCCAGCCCAGCAGGCCCCAGCTCGATAGTCTCCAGCTAACTCTGTGGGTTGGTTTTAAAGCAAATCCTGTTGTGGACTGCCTGGCAAATTTTTTAGCTAACTGTAATGATAAAAAGGGAGTGTTACTCTATTCTGAATCTTACCTAGTTGAATGCATGTTTATAAAAACAAACACAAAAAGCTTGCTCAATTTACCTGCAGTGACTGATGCAAAACCATCACATGCAAAATCCAAAGGACTGGACCGTGTTCTGCAGCCTGTGTCACATGCACTGTCATAATGTATGCTTAGTCTCACAGCCACATGCGTGCAAGTGAATGTCCTCGAGAGTCATCTGCAGTACTGGACCGGGTTCTTGGGGTTGCCAGTTAGGGACACAGACTTGTAGTTTTCAGAGACCTGGGTTTTTGGCACTGACTAACCTGGAGGGAGCTGCAGGGACTGGGAGGGCGACTCTGTGATGGTTCCAGAGCAGCAGAGGAGCAGTGGGTTCCCTCTCCTTCATTTCCCCTGCAGTGTGGTCTGAGCAGCAGGGATGTACCTGAAGCCTACCCGGGCGTGTGAGAGCTGGGTGGCCAGTAGAGCTGGGGTGAGGGGTGATCTGTGTCAGCAGAGCAGTGCCTGCCACATGAGCGTCCACTGTAGGTCTTACAGGACAGTGTTTTGTGTAGCTGTCGGGACTGTGGGGAAAGGCCAGTGTCTTCCCAGGAGGGAGGCTGTCTAAGAAGAACGGCTACACTGAGCTGGCATTCATTGCCTTTGCTTTCTTCCACTTAGGGACTCATCCCTTTCTTTCCCCCGAGTCAGCTGAAAACACACGGCACTGCTGTATTCACCCCACAGAGAAGGGCAGAGGCTTCAGCCGTGTGCTGTGGAGAATGGTGTATATTTACGACTGGTTAAAAGGGAATAAGTGGGTTTTTTTTTTGTTTTTTGTTTTTTTTTTTTTTTTTTTAAGTTAGTTCCCCGTGTTTCTTGTAGAGAAGCAGAGCTGTGATTATGTCTAAAAAATGTAGAAGCGATGTAGCTTGTCCTGGGGTCGTTCAGCTGATGGTGGCCTGTCCTCCGTGTCTAGCTGGGGCAAGGCCTGGAAAGTCTGCCTAAGTGTCCCGTGAGCCTCTTCTGCCACCTTTCTCTGTGGCTGGCTGACCGCACTCAGCACGTGTGGAGGGTGGAAAGGGTCAGGCAGTTTGGGATTGTGCTTGCTTGTCTACAGCTGTTGTGGGAGAGATTCTGAGTATGTACATAAGGAATCAAGAAGGTTCTTTCTGCTTGAATATGCCCAATTTGAATCTGTGAGAGCGTTTCTGTTCAGGGTGGGTCGGAAGGGCAGGGCGTGAGAACTTCTGACGAGTGGGGATGTTTTGTTTGTTTTGGTTTCTTCCCCCCATTGAAGTACTGGGGTCTTGGCTGGAGGGGGTGCTTGTCTCTGGCAGCTACGTCAAGGTTCCCATGTTGGTGTGGATGAAGCCTGATTTTATAGTAGTGCTCTCCATAATTTGTTTTTAGCTTTCTTTTTTCTTTAAGACATTTTGTAAAATTTCAGCATGGATCATTGTAAACAGAAGAGTTCTCATTCCTAATGTCCATGAACATAGAATGTTTACGGATGAGTATGTTTAATCACCGCCTCATGAGCACTTAACCGTGTGTGTGTGTGTATGAGTATGTGTGTGAGTTTGTGTTCATGAATGTATGTGAATGTGTGAGAGTGTGTGTGAGTGTGTATCATGTGTGTGAGAGTGTGTGTATCACATATGTGTGAGTGTATGTGTGTGTAGTAAGAAAGCACACAATGCACACAGATAAGAGCATTTGCTGTAGGCACACAACTTGGATCTGTAGTTCATGTTGGGATTCCCATCCATGTGGTGGTTTGCAGTGTTGCTGGTTCAAGGTCTCCCCTGGACCCAACAGACAGAAAGTGGTTTTCACAAGTGAACATGCACAGATCAGTGGAACAAATGTACCCAGATTTTCGCATGTGTTTGGAAAAAGTCCCCTCACCCACCCCCCTCTAAACATGCCTGTGAAGGGTAGAGTTGTTCGCCCGCGGCAGGAAGTTATCAAGTCTGTGGGTCTGCTTGCAGCTGCACACTGTTTCCACAGGCCAAGTTCTCAGGAGAAAGGAGAGTGGGGTGGCATCCACTCCTACGGATAGCAGCTTCACACACCATTCTTTCCCTTCCAAATTGAATTACATTGACTATCAAACACCTCTGTATTGTACAACTCATCTGAGCGGAAGTCTTTTCTGTTTTGAAACTGTCATGCCATCAGCTATGGAATCTGCTGGTGAAAGGTCTTACCTACCAGGTAAAAAATGGGCACGGGGACAGTAACAAATTGTCACACGTGGTGATCTCAGTAGCATTCAGTTTCAATAAAATTAAGGAACAGAACTCCAGTCAGTATTCTGTTACACAGCTGCATATGTATCCCCAAAACATTAAGGAACATTCCAAGAAAATGTGCTTTTTATGTGTGCAACATTCCCAACTCTAGTCCTTCAGCTGAATTCTAGAGGTAAGACAGGCAGGCAAAGGCCCTGATACCTGTGAACATGAACAACAACATTTTTAGGTGTAGATATAATTTTTTAGAGTTTATTCTCTGCTGCCTCCCCTGAGGCTGGGGAGCTTTGTTCTTTTGCTGCTGCTGTTTGTAGTTTGAAGTTTGGTAGAGTTCTTGAGTATTAAGCAACCTGCGAGCTCCCTGAGAAGAAAGGCCACCGTCAAGATTGGGCTAGTTAGAGTACAGGCATGGAAACTCTTCCAGAACTTCTGTCCCTGTCTTGCGGTCTTTGTGGAAGAACCATTGAGTGGATGCTGGTCTGCCAGTTAGCGTTCTGGGTAGCAGCTTTGGAGTGTTTTGCAGTGTTTCCACCAGGAGAGGGGGTCCTCAGTTCTGGATTGCCTGCTGAGTATCCTACCTTTCCTCAGCCTTGTATCTGGTTATGTTAGCCTGCTGTGCCAGGAGGCTGGAGGAGCAGAGTGGATGTTTCTTAGGGGCATGCTACAATGAAAGGAAATGCCTTGGGGGAGGTTTGAGCTCACTGGCTTGACTTGAGCCTTTGTGAGTGTCTGTGGTGGAGAGGCTGGCAGGCATAAATAAGCCTCCAATGTTGGGGCTTCTCCACACTCCTCAGCTGGTCCTTTCCTCTGGTGCTTTGTGAGGGTTGCTAGCGGGCAAGAGTGCAGTGCGGAGCTTACTCTTCCCCAGGTTTCCTGAGTTGCTTATCCTGCCCAGTCTTCTGTGTTTGGTGGACCCATACCCAGGAAGGATAATGTGGTTTTGGTAGTAACACTTAAATTAATTCCCTATGTTTTACTTCTTTGCTACCCCTACTCCATGAAGAACAAAACCTGTGGAATAAATCTTACTAGAATTATGAGACGGGAAGCAGCAGCTTTCCTGTCTAGAGACTACAGTAGTTATACATGTGATGTGAGGGCCTGATTGGTATTGCGGCAGCTCCCATGGAAGGGCAGTGGAGGGTCTGGTGCAGACTGTGGGCAGTGTACTAGACCAGTTAGGTGAGACCGGGGACTGGCTCCCAGCAGGGTTATTAGGGCAGCTGCAGGCCCCAAGGAGCCTGATAGGCTGTAACTGAACAGAAGAGGTTCTTCTTTTTTTAAACTTTTATTTTTAAATACTCTTTTTTACACTGTTTTCTTGGTACTTTTTTTATGCTTAAGTCAGCATTGTCTTCCAGTGTTAAAGGCATCCCTTGCCTCTTCATGTGTCAATATTAATAGGAATGGGCAGACTGTCCATCCCGAGCCAGTTCAATTAAATGTAAATTCATACTGTTTTAATTTTTTATGCAATCTGATGAGTAGATGAGCTCAGATTTAAAATCCTTAAAAGCACGTTTATTGTAACAGGAATTGTTATGTATTAATACTGCAGTTTTCAATAAAGATTGACTTGTGTTGCATATTCTGATTTTTCCTTTCATGTGATTTTTGTCAGAGATGATGGCCTGACTGGCACATACTGCCACTTCTCCCGGGCAGGAGGTTGCTGGGGGACTGGGGTGAGGTGAGGCTGTGTGTTCAGCCCTCATTTGGTTTTGGTGGAGGGGGTCCTCCTAGGTGGTGTAGGGGATGTAGGCTTCTGTAGCTTTACATAAGCCTCCTGTGTCCCTCAGTTCTGTAACGAGGATGCTGAGACCCAGAAGCACCACCGGCCCCATCCCTTAGCTCACATGTGCCAGTTAGCTGCATACTCTGGGAGGTGGGAAGGGAGTCTGCCCACTGGCAGCCAAGGTTCTCTCGGTTGATTTCCTCCCCCTTCCTTTAGACCTTTGCAACAGTGAGCCTAGCCGCCTTAGCCCACTTGTACCAGGAGTCCTGTGGCTGTGGCCCAGTGAGCAGCACATCCCCTAGGATGATATCAGAGGAGTAGCTGAGGGCAGAGGCAGGGTACCAGCCCCAGCAGGAATTGAGCAGCACACAGGACAAGAAGCTCCCACATGATACCAACAATTCACCAGCAGCCAGGTTACTTTTCTTGTTTCTTTATGAAATTAAATGTGGTTTCTGGATTAGAGAAGGTACAGCGCAAGAGTTAACTGACCATGCTTCTGAATCCTGTGGGCTCTGCACGGCGTGCAGGCCTGGCTGTGTGCCCCACGAGGAGTCCGTCCCAGCTAGGCCACAGAATTCAGTCCTTATGGCTTCTCACACTCGCAAGGTAAGGCAATCTTCCTGTGTCATTAACAGTTCTCCATTGTTAGAGAAACAACACAACAAAATGGTAATGAACAGGGACTGGGTATGTATGTGCGCGGCCACCCCAGCTACAGGGGACTGTCACTAACCTGGGGCCAGGTACACAGTTGACTAGGGTTTTCTTCTCATTGCACATGTCACAGAGGGTGTCTGGCAGCCAGTGGTGCCACGAGGAGCCCGGAGGGTGAGGACAGCTATGGGTGGAGTTGGGAGCGCACAACCCCTGGTTCCTGACCCCTGAAGTTGCAAGTGGGCTGGGGGCCTGCAAGGACAAATAGGGAGCAGAGGGCACACACCTGCCTTTGCAGGAGGCTCATGGCCACAGACTCCGGCCTCCTGCCCAGAGAAAACAGGAGTGGAGATAAGCTTTCCAAAGAGCGTCCAGCACGGATGAGCCCTATTTGCACAGCCTGGCCAGTGGTTCTGAGCTGTGACTTGCAGGTTCCCCATCGTTGGAGGCCCTGCACAGGTCCAGAGTATAGACAGAGGCTGGTACCCGTGCAACACTGCACTTGCAGTGGGGAAGAGGCCAGGGCCGGGGCCCAGACTTCATACAGCGCCGACGCTGTACCTGTTCACTTCCAGTTTGTAAGACAGGCAGAGGGCCTGGTGGAGTTGGCCTTGAGGGAAAGCTGGGTCCACAAAGTGCTGTCAGGTTGTCCGATAGGTGCTGGCTCACTTTCGGAAGGGTGCCAGTCGGCTGATGCTGTGCCAGAAGTTAGATGGCTTCCGCCTGGGCTCTGCTAGCACCAACACCTGCTGCTGAGGCCGGCTGGCAGGCAAGGATGGATGCTTGTGGCGGGTCAGGTATCCTGGCCTGCCGACAGCTGGGCAGGGAGAGAGAGCAGGGGTTACAAGGTAGAAGACAGGGTTCATCTGTGGGTTCCCTTGTGGACCCTTCATGGGGTAGTCTGTCACACAGGATTTGCTTATCAAGGGGCTAACCATGACACACATGACATCAAATTATCGAGAGCTTCTGGTCTGAGCCTAGCCTACTGCAGCCTGAGGGCTAGCCAGGTCCAAAGCATGGGATGTCTGCACCATCTATGGGGATGGAGAGAGGGCTCCCTCCCAGGCACTGCCATGTGCCTATCAGCAGCCTGGGGAAGTGAGCATTGTATCTCCTGGTGCCACTAGGAGGTCATAGGCATCAAGCAAAAACTACTAACAACTCTTGTCATCTGTGGCCCTTACCGCCTTTGAAAACATACACCTGTAAAGGGAAGTGGACATCTCCGAGGATCCAGATGGCTAGCTGGCATTGCTTTTGAAGTCAGATGGCTACGTAATCAAAGCTGGAACTGCCCAGGGAGTAGGGTGGTTCCCCATTTACCTTTAGGCTTCCCTGTGGCCTGCTGCTTGCTGGCATTCAGCATGGCCTGCTTCCTCTGCAGCTCAGTGATGGAGAAGCCTGGAGGGGGGAGGGGCACGTGAGATCCCGCCTTGCCTTCCTCAAGTGCCCACATGCCTCCTTGGAAGGCTTCCTGGTCCAGGTACTAGTCTCCCGACATCCCCTTCTACCACTCCCTTAGTCAGGCGGCATGGCAGGGACCGTCTCCTCACCTGGTCAGCCATCCTGTCCCCCCAACCAAGGGGGGGAGCAAAGATCCCGAGCCACGAACTTCATTTCTCACCCGACCTTGCACCCGCTTCCCATTTGTCTAATCTAGTTTCTGTCTCGATACTGCCATGGAGGCTCTTTCCCAAACCAAAGCATGAGGCATGGATGTAGGACCAGGAAAGGATGGGAAAGGATTCTGTGGTACCCACCCCGTGCGCTCCCAGGGCTCAAGAGATGGGCACTCCCGTCAGATCCAGTCGGTGAGGCTGACCACTGAGGAAGGGCCATTTGTGCCAGAGGGGTAAGCACGGAGCTGTGCTAAGAGGGTTCTGCAGTCTCCCCCAGCCCCAGGTGTGACCTCATCCTCAAGTTTGCCTAGACCACCTGGTAGGTGAACCCCAAAGGCTAGGCAAGGCCCAGCAGGGTCTCCCACCTGTCTCCTGGTCCAGCCGCACCTGCTCCCTTTCCCTGGCAAAGGCCTTCAGCCAGCGCTGCTTCTGTTCTGGTTTCCTGGCACACAGTAAGTGGCTGTCCCCGGTGGCACCGCAGTACAGACGGAAGGCATTCTTGACGCTCACATGGAGGTCGCGGTCCTTGCCATCTTCCACATCCACCACCTCCAGATCATCCATGTCCAGCCGACCTTTGTAGTACAGCACGTCCCGACGGAGCAGGTCCTGCCAGATGCTGGCCTGAGCCCTGGCTGCCCAGCGGCCTGCCTGACCACCTAGTCATGCCCACTCCCACCCCCAAGCCACTGACTGACAGGACAGTCTTGTCTTTGGGATGCAGCAGCCCACATGGTATGGTATGGGAGAGCAGAGAGGATGAGGAAGGCTTCGTGCATGGGGGCCCTTGTGCCACAGTTTGGAAGAAGCAGAAGCTAGCAGTAAAGAGGCCAGAGGCTGCTGCCATGGGAGAAATCATGAGACAGAAGCAGAAGCTTGCAGGGAGAGACGTGGTCTGAGGAGCAGGCAGGGACCAGGTCAGGAAGGAGGAGGATGCGCGACAGCACACTGTTCCAACAGCCACCCCAGTGTCCCTGGGCTCAGTCTAGAAAGTCCTCAGGGCCTGATTGGAGCTCCTGGAGACATGAAATGGCCAGGGTAGAGTCTACCAGGCCCTTTGCTTCCAGACAAGAGTCCCAGCCTTTCCTGCTCCACTATATGAGACTGGCCTGGCAAGGAGAGCTGTTCCGATACCTTTTTACAGTAGATGAGCTGACGGTCAAAGAGAAAAAACATTCTCTGCTGACTCTTGGCTTGAGGCTGTGTAACACGGGTCAGCTCCCCCGAGTAGATGAGTTCCGAGCTCCTGGCCAGGAGATCTTCCCCCTGAGTGAACCCCAAGGATAGCCGTGAGGTAAGTGCACCCTACCTTAGGCTCTACTTCCTGCCTCTCTTGGTGGTGACCCGTTCTGTAGAGTCTTCACTGCAGCCAGTGGCTTTCTGAGGCTCTTGAGCACTTGAGAATTTCACACGCCAAGTGCACGGTGATTTCAAAGGGTATGAAACAGTGTAAAATACATTTGTTTGTGCGGAGTTAAATGAAATATAAAAATCCATTTCACTTTTTCATTCTGTATGTGTTATGTGTGTGTTCACACGTGTGCTAATGTGTGATGTGGGGGTCAGGGGTCAACACCAGGTGTCTTAGTCACTTTCCGTCCTTCTTTTAAGCTTTTATTACAGTTATTTATTGTGGGAGGGGAGGGGTGGATTGCACGCATGCCACAGCAAGTGTGTGGCAGTCAGAAGACACCTCGCAGGAGCCTTTTCCCCCCCATTATGCGGGTTCTGGAGACTGGGCCCAGGTCGTCAGCTTTGGCAGCAGGCTCCTTTACCCACTAAGGCATCTTACCCACCCATATCTCTACCTTATGTGTTGAGATGAGGTCTTTCACTGAACTCATAAATTCAGTTAGGCTGGCTGGCCAGGAACCTTCAGGGACCCTCCTGTCTCTAGGAGGGGATGCAGGTTGTGCCACCATACCTGGCTTTTTATATGGGTGCTGGGAATCAGAATTCGGATCTTCCTGCATGTATTTACCGCAGGCACTCTCTACCACCTGAGCCATCTCCCTAACCCCGCCTCCCACCCCCTCCCCCCCCCCCTTTTTTTTTTTTTTTTTTTTTTTTTTTTGAGAGATGGCTACTAGAAAGCACAGAATTCTAGACATGGCTCATGTTATCTTTTGAAGGGACAGTGCTGCTTCAGAGAAAAAATAGGCTTGGCAGGGACACTTGCCCCTGCAGCCAAGTTTGAGGACCTGAAAGTAGCAGTCTGGCACTGCTAGCAGCTATCAGTTTGGGGATGACTGTGCGCTCCGCTCCAGTCCTTGGCCAAGCAGGGGCTCAGGACCAGTCAGCTGCATGTCCTCCCCTGCCCAAGGGGCAGGATTTGTATAGGGGCAGAGCCTAGGACTCTACTTTTGTACTCTTCCGTGGTGGCTTATTCCGACATGCTTTCACTTGTCAGAGTCTAACCCATGACAGCTGACATGGAATGCCGTGGCTCCATCTGGGTAGAGAGTAGAGGTGGCTGGTTGCAGGGGAGCAGAGGGGCAGAGTCTCCCACCCCCATGCCTCTAGGGAGTAGGAACGTTAGTCATCAGTTTGTTGCTTTAGAAGGCAAGACAGGCGGATGCATGGGAAGAGCATCCCAGAAAACTGACAAAGCCTGGACCCGTGGGGATCCATTTCTACACCCACCCTGGGCTCTACACTCAACTGTTAAAAATTCCGAAAGGGTCCTGAAACTTAGCAGTCCAGCCTGTCCCTAAGGGCAGAGAAACAGACCAAGATGTCTTAGAAACGCAGTTCCTTGGGTTAGGGCTGCCCCTTGGCTGGTGATGGCTAGAATGTGTGTGGTAGTTAAATGCGGGAAGGAAAGCCTCAGGTGTCATGGTGGAGGTGCCTAGAAAGGCCCAAGGCGAGAGAACCTGTCTTCCAACAGCTCCCCGGAGTGCAGTGGACCCCGCCTCTGTTCCCATCTGGACAAGAACACTTTTCAAGCAAGGACCCCACAGTATTTCCTGGGCACTGGGGCCCTCACCTCCCAGTCCTCTATGGAGCTCTGCCACTGGGCAATCTTGTCAATGTTTTCAAGTCTCCGTTTCCGTTCATTGATGAGCTGGGCCACATTCTTCATGGCATGCAAGGCAGCTTCAACGTTCTTAAAGTCCCTGGGGGCAGAACAGACAGAAGTGTGCGGGGCCAGCTGGAAAGTGGAAAGAGCCCGCAGAGTTCCCAGCGGTCCCTCCCTGTGAAGTTGCCACCTCTCCCTGGCCTGCATCCCAAGGCCATAGCCCCACCCACCAAGTACAGTCTGTCCTCCATAACTGGCAGGAACACCAGCTTAACATTTTACTGATTGATACCCGCCCCTGCTCCAGTATAGCTCAGGGTGGCACGTTTGCTTTACCCTAAGCTATTTCTCCCCGTACCCTGCATTCTGCGAATGGTACCCACACTATAAACATTCAGTTGGCTGCCCGATGGCATGCAGAGTCTCAGGCAGCTTTCCTCACCACCTTGTGCCCTCTACCTGTGCTGCGGGTGTGTGTACTTGAGCAGCTCTGCCAGCTGGAGGGGATACTTGCAAATCTTCTGCACTGGGGTGAGCAGAAAGCCGTCCAGGGAAATGTCAATCATTCTCTGTAACAGCCGGCAGGCCTCGAAGAAGTACACATACTTGCTGAGCTTGGTGAGCCGGGAGAGCTCCACACAGGCGTTGGGGTGGTTGTTGCAGTACTCAGAATAGATCTGGAAGTCTGCTTGCTGGGGGCACAGTTGAAGATCAGGGTGGTTGTCTCCCGTTTGCCCAGGCAACAGGCCTCGGCCACGAGGGGAAAGGGACAAGGAAGGAGCCAGTCCCCTTTCCCAGCAGGGCTTCCAAGAGAGCTGGGCTTCCAGGAGATATTCTGATGATGTATCTGTTTTTATTTTATTATCTTTTAATGAAATCAGTGGTACTAATCAGGATGGGTTATCAAGGCTAAGCAGATAAGGTTTTGGAATGTGGCGTGACTTCCTTGGCTTCAGGAGAGGACAAGACAGGCTCTGCCGGCCCAGTAAGGCTAGCAGCTTTTTGTCTGTGAACCTGGTGTGGAAAATTCTAGGGAGAGATAGAGCAAGGGAGCTGTGCATAGACAAGGGGCCGGGCTGGACAGGGGTTCTGTACAGGATAGGTCCGGGTGTACTCACGTGTTCCAGAAAGCAGGCACCCAGCTCGCTCAGGTGTGGCCGTTCTGTGTTGAACTTCTGCTCCAAAGCCTTCACAAATGCCTTCTGGCAGCGGTAGATGTCTTCAATGTTCCCGAAGATGGTACGCAGCTGCTCTTCGCTGAACATATCCTCACGCTTTCGGCACTGGCGGACATAGCCCTGGGGGATGGGGCGGGGCCAAGCTCTCCATGGACCCCGGTCCACTTCACCACCTGACCCCACTTACTCACCATGCCCTTTGACTCCGCCCATCCTAGTCTACCCATAGCTCGAGTCATACACACATCCCACAGCCCTCACCTCTCCAAGCAAGCCCTGCACCTGCCCTCCTCACCTCACAGATGTCCCGAAGGTGCTTGATGTAGTCCCTCTCAGTGCTGAGGATCTCATTGATGACGTTGGTGCGCATCTGGTCCTTGCAGCTCTGGGCCTCTGGAACGTTGTCACTGACCTCTCCAACCCCGGCCCGCGGGGCCTCATAGTCGTCCGCGGGCTCATCCTGGTTCACCCGCAGCTAGACAATGCGAGGCTATTAGTGCCTGCCATCCTCCAGTAGGTCCCTGAACTCTGCAAGCTGAGGTCAGTAGCTCCCATGGGACAGACACAGGTCCAAGGGCGCACCCTGAAAATTCTCAGCAACTGCATCCTAGGCTCAAGGCCAGGGCAGGGGATGGTGGGCTTGATGACCACAGCTGGTGTCACTCCTTTAGTAGACTGTCCTCAGCAGGGATTGGAGCAAGCGCTAGGAATTCCTGAACCAGACATTCTCATCCTAGTGCATCTAGGCCTAGGTAGAGGCCTTGCTAGATTGCTAGCGTGTTACCTTTAGGAACAGGCAGGGCTGTACAGGAGGAATTCCTGAGTACCTACGAGTTCCCTGCCTCTGTCTGCCTTTGGGAGGCTGGAGTGGCCTTCTCCAAAGACGCAGCCCAGGGTTGGAACTGGGTCACCTGCTCTCTTGGGTATGACTTCACTGACTGTGTCTCCTCCCAGGCTTGTACCTCTCAGGGCTGGGTTCCCCACACACCCCAATGAACACGGTAGTCCTGTGTAGAGGGCATTCATTGTTTGAACTGGCCTATGCTAAAGCATCCTATTCTTACATTCCTGATCGGCTCTTCTCCCTGGCCGCAAGAGGGCTGGTGAGCACGGGCCTTGGAACAGGGGACTGAGGAGAATGTGTCACAGTTTTGACCTCCCCTACCCACCCCCACCCATCCAGCCTGAGGCACCAAGTGACAGCAAAGTAGAGAGGGTGGTCCATTGCCCTATGCCTGGGACTGTGGAGCTGTTTGGGGGCTTCCAAAGCTCGGGAAAAGCACGGGCTGGAGCCATACCCGTACAAAGCTGGCAGGGAACCACCCCTCGCCATCGGCCACGCGCCCCCACCACCATTCTCTGTTGGTAGCGTCCATCACTTCGATGACATCCCCAGCTTTGAAGCCCAGCTCCTGGTCATCCATGGTGACATGGTCCCACAGGGCTTCAGCACAGACCACGCTGCCATCACTGATGAGCTGTAGAGAGAGCCAAGGCAGGTGGGTCGGGGAGGCAAGGGCGCTCCACCCTGGCCCCTCCCCAGCAGCCCCAGAAGCAGGGACCCTGGTCCGCTTCACAGACAACACTCTGTCGAGTTTCTCTCCAGGCCAGCGGCTCTCCTGGAGCGGGGCTGTGCCTTGGGCATGTCTAGATTGGCCAAACTCAATGAGGGAGCCAGAAGTGAACTTGAACACAGGATGAGATTGATGGTCACATGGTGCCTTCCCTGTCCAACCACGCCTTCTGCTATTGAGCCTCCGGCTTAGGCTGAGATGCTGCACTGGGGCATGCACTATGAAGTGGCAATGGGCAGCTGCTACCTGCTCTCTCCTAGGCAGCCATTTAAGAGAGGAGGCTTGCTGGCTCTGCAGAGGCTAACGGACACACCTGGCCTGTGAGGTCATCTAATTAATAGTGCTGCTTTACCAATAACAGTGCCCATCACAGCAGCTGGGTCCTATTTGTTGTGGGCTTTTTCTTTTTCTTTTTTTTTTAACCTTGCAGAAGTAGTCACATGACACCATGGCTCCTTACAGCCCAGACACCCACACCAGCTGAGGAGCGGTCCTCCACAGACTTTAGCCCTGGAGGTCTGTTTTAATCACTCTGTCACTTCCCTTTCTTGCCCAGTCTGGAGAAGAAACAGACTCTTCTTGCAGCTGCTAACTGTAGCAAGTAAGCCTCTGCCACTGAGTCAGTCATATTATATCTGGCTGAGAGCTCAGTGTACTGGGATCTTTCTGCCTAGATGACTGGCGAAGCTCCTCTCTCCGCTGTGTGGCCTGGTCCTGTCCCCTTCCAGGTGGCCCGGATGGTTGGAGCTCTGTCCCGCATCCATTGGCTCCCGCCTTTCTGTTTTGAAGGCCCTTTTGAGTTTTATGAACAAAGGGCTGTGATGGCCGAGGTGGGGGGGGGGGAGCAGATGCATCCGACCTCCTCCCTGGCTAGCCCAGCAGAGACCTGGATGGTACACCCCCTAGCAGGTTCCCTCACGATCCAGTCCTGCCTCTAAGCTGTTCTACACTTTTTGTATTCTCCTTTGGCCTCCTGGATACTTCCAAATTTGAATCCTCAAATCAGCCCAGGGCAGAGAAACAAGCAACATCTCTATCCCAGGGCCAGACATTGTCCTTAGAGCTCTCTGTGCCCAGAGCCATACAAGGAATCCAGCACAGAACTCTGGGATCTTCCCGGGGACACGGGCCTCCAACTTCTGGACTCAATGTCTCTATAAGAGTGACTTTCTGCAGACAAGTCTGGCTGACACACATCTGGTATAAGACTACTCAGCAAGGCCACGTTGGGGGTGGGGGTGGGGCAGTCTGCTGTAGGCCAGGAGCTGTACACCTTCTGCAGTGAACTGTCATATGAAGCCTTGAAGGATGTAGGGGAAGAAGGAATGGAAGCCAGTGAGAAAGAACAGGGGAATGTGCTTGACTTGGGGTCTGTAATTCAGGCCACAGATTTGGGGAAGTAACCCAGAAACAGTGTGGTCCATCCTCCTGCTTTGTATGACTCCCTGAAATAAGGATTGAGAAGTAGGGAAAAGGAGGGAGGGAGGGATGGAGGAAAGGAAGTTGAGAAGGAGGAAGGAAGTTAGGCCCCTCTACATGGCACTGCGCACCCTCTCCTTATTCTACAGTCTGGGTGTACTTTGTGGATCCTACAATGCTTCAGGGACACCTACTGAGTGTAGGACAAAGGCAGGGCTTTTCAGAGAGACATTAGAAACAAACTGGCCAATCGTAGAAGCCTATGGAGTGGGAAGTAGGCACTGGTCATGGATCGACATTGCTTCTGAACACAGAAAGCACCTGATAGACACACTGCTGCATCCGAGCAGGTTCTCCAGACCCCTTGCGTCCCCCATCGGTACCCCAGTAAACAGAATCTCCCCTTCATGGGTCTCACAAATGGAAGGCTAAAAACGCTCTAGCTCTGAAATCAACCATGTCCATGTCATTGCCAAAACAAAATGAGGCTCCAAGGGGCGAGAAACACATTTCATAGAATATCAGAGGTGAATCCCAGCTTCAGCTAGCACCCTCTCTGGGTGCTGCCAGGAGCTCTTGCTCCTAAATCCCGCACTCCAGCTGCCGCCCGAGGATGGGATTCCAACGGGCTTCTTCCTCTGAGGTGGAGGGACATCTGGGGGCAGGTGGAGCTTGTGCCAAATGCCCAGGTAAGTTCAAGACTAAGATAGGGCAGGGGCAGGGCAGGGGCAGATTTCCTTCCTGTGCCTTTGATTCTGACTAGCATTAGCCGAGGGCAAGGCCTCCAGGCTGTGACTCAGGCAGACCCCTGTGAACCATCATCTCTTTTACCCTTCTACCTCCTGTATTCCCCTCACATGCCGGGCGGCAGCGCCTCCCACCAAGCTGGCCCTGAACACCGGATGTGGTGGGAGGGCATGTTCAGAGTGGCTGCTGCAAGTCAGACAGCGGCAGCTCTGCCCTAGGAGACTGACTGGCACTTTTTGAGGCCTAAAATAAGAAAGACGTAGGTCATCACCTTCAGAGGAGCCCAGATACCCTCTACAGGCCTCCTGCAGCCCCCGCACAATACATGCCCTGCAGTCCTATGCATACCCTTTCCAGACATGCCCACCCCACCCCCGCCCCCAGCAGATCCCAGCTCCTTCGCATCTCCAGTTAGAGACCCACCCGCCATGTTGCCCTCCTCCCTCCTCCCCAGCCTCAAAATCCAAGGAAAGGCCTCTTGGGCACGTGAGCCACCACGCCCCTCAGTTATCCTCACTGTGGCATCCTCGGGGGGGGGGGCACCCCCAGACCGGCCTTGACAGTAAGCACAGGGCGATGGTGGGAGTCCTCCCCTCTGCGTTCCGTGACAGCGGCTGGAAGGCGCCACTCACCCTGCGCGGTCCCCTGCGGTGCCTGGCGCGTGCAGCTCAGCGGAAGGCCAGCAGGAATATGAGCACGGCGTTGATGAGGACCAGCAGGGCCAGCACAGCCGAGACCACCACGCGCTGGGCGCCCGGGGGCAGGTTGCAGCGCAGCAGGGCGCGGAGGGCACCGCCAGGCGTCGCGGGGCCGCGCCGGGGCTGCGGGGGCCTGGCCATCACGCCCGGCCTTCCTCCGGGCTCCCAGCGCCGGGAGATCCCAGCTCCAGGATGGAGCCGGAGGCGTCAGGAAGGAGGCGGAGCTGCCTAAGCTCACCCGCCAGGCTCCTCCCTCACCGATTGGTCGCTGAGTGATCCCTGCCACTGGGGCTTTAGTGGGAGCAGGGCGAAGAAGCTTCAGTGGGGGTAGGTGGGAGGGAGGGGACCTGTTAAAGTCGCAAGACCGGGTTGCTGTGGCTCTGAAGTGCGTGGTGATCTGCCCTGGGCGCTTCCATGAGAGAGGTCAGAAGACTCTAATAACCGTACTGTACTGTGCCCCGGTAGCCTTGGGAGTCCTGGGGGCTGCTGGGTACCAAGTCGACCCAGGCACTCCCCAGCGAGTAGAAATGTCTGGCAAGGTTGCTATGGGGAAGGCTGGGTTAGGAGTTCACAGTTCGGACTGGCTTTAAATTCATTTATCTTACATAGATGACCTTGAAATTCTGCTCTGCCTTCCTCCACCTCCTCAGAGGTCGGATTCCAGGCGTGAACCATCATGCTTTGTTTATGTGGTTCTGGGGGATCAAACTCAGGGAGGGCTTCATGCTTGCTAGGCGAGTACTCTACTCTCTGAGGCAAATCCCCAGAGGGGATTTCTAATAAGGCTGTCCTCTGGCATTCACTTCACAGATGAGTAATTGTGCCTCTGTCACGTCAGATAGTTGTCACACGATCACCCAGCCACACAGGGTAGTGTGTGTGTGTGTGTGTGTGTGTGTGTGTGTGTGTGTGTGTGTGGTGGGGATGGGGTGCGGTGGATTTGAACCGGGGGCCTGATTGAGCATCTTCAGGCATCAGCATAGGATTTTGAGCCTTTGGACATGCAGCTGTCTCCTTCACTGGCAGCACCAAACAGAATCTTCAATCTCAAATGGGCAGAGGTCTGGGTCTTACCAGCATGTCCCTCTGAAACGTGCTGTATGTAGCTTAGACGGGTGAACACAGCAGAGGAAGCCTGGTGTTCACGTGTAAGTGACTGTATATTCAGATCCTAGCACCTGCGACCATCCTGCTCAAGAGCCCAGCGTTGTACCCCCTTGGTCCTGGTGCAAATACGTACCTGTGAAGAGGGACATTTCTGTGGCCACATGCATGGGTTATCTGTGTTTGTACTTGTGTGTATGTGTGGGTGCTGCTGTAGACCTGTAGGGGCAGCCTGCCTTCTGCACTACAGGCTCAGCCTTCACCATCTATCTGGGGGCATGTGAATACTTGATCCACATTTGACGACACTGTTCTGAGAAGCTGAGGAGGTGTGCTCCTGTTGGAGGAAAGTCGCTAGAGATGGGCTTTGAGAGTTGAAACACGTGTACCATTGTGCTTATAGCTCTCAGCTGTCGTTGCTGCCTTGTCTGCCTCCTGCTGTACTAATTCTCTCTGCCATGATGGAAGCTTAGCCCCTGGAACCACACATTCAGATTAACTCTTCTAAAAGTTGCCTTGGTCATGGCATTAATACAGGGGACATTAGAAGACATCTAAAGGCCATTGCCATTCCATTCCTCACTTTCCTGTAAGTCTGGGGACCTGCCCTCTAATCTAATGCAATGGAGTGAGGCTGGAAGTCCATGACTTGTGCCCGTGTTTTGTTGTGTGGTGGTGGTTCCATAGAGAGAGGGTATCCTTTGCATCCTCGGGCACCTTAGCATAGCAGGCTGGAAGCACTGTGGGGTCTATGATACTGAAATAAAATACTCTGTCCTTAAGACTCAGAAGGTAAACAAAATTTAGAAAGCTCAGTGAGTGTACAACTCGTAGTTCTTTAAAAGTTCCTAAAACATACATGATTCACAAGGCCCCTCCCCAAGGTTACATAAGGAATAACAATTGCTGAGAAGAGGAGACTCTCTGACCAGTGAA